AATATCGCAGACTGATGGCTTAACCAACACACATTTATTGCTCACAGTTCTGGGGCTGGCAAGTCCAAGATCAAGGTGAAGATCAGGTTCCTGGAGGGCACCCTCTTCCAGGTTTGTAGACAGCTGCCTTTCTCCTGTGTCCTCATGTGGCCTTTCCTTGGTGAATGCTTCTAGAGAGAGGGAGAGGGAGAGAGATCTCTCCATCTCCCCCTCCTTGTAAGCATCCCACCTTCATGACCTCATTCAAACCTAATGACCTCCGAATACCATTACACTGGGGGTTAGGGCTTTATCGTACGAATTTTGGTGGTGGTGGAGGCAGAGGGCACAAATATTCAGTTTATAACAGCTTCTTTCAGCCATATTGGGTGGTGCTCATTCTGGGAGTCACTCAGTGTTTATATAAAGTTCCCCTGCCATGTGGACACTTGGCATAGGTGGCTCTAAGATGCTTCCCATTTTTACAGAGAAAAGAAACTAAATGCTGACTTACAGAACTTGAAGGCAAAGCTCATTCATGCAGCCCTCATTCTCAGACTGGACCCCTGTTCTCTGTCGGCTCCTGGAAGACCCCGTTCTTCAGCCGGAAGGTGGTGTCTGGTGCACGCCCACTTCCCTGAGAGCAACGGGTTCCCCTTGTCTCCCTGCCCTTGTCCCCCGTCCCTTCTTTTATCTGCAAGTAAATTTTAAATGGGGGGAAAAGACAGGTCGATCAGAGCAATTTCCAGAACGAACCCAGAAATACATTCTTCATAGCTGGGCATGGCTTTGTCAACAGGAGCAGGTTGGGCTGGTGAGACTGAGTGGAGAATAAAAAGCATTATTGCCAGAAATGCAAGGCTGGATCCATTTTCTTAGAAATGCAGAGTAGTTTCAAATAGTGTCATGGGACCAGGGGATTTTGTGCTGGCATGAATTCACTGATTTCAGTAAAAAATTCTCTTATCAGGATTTAAGGTTGTTACTGTCACGTGTCAACGTCCTTCAGTTATTCTCACTTGGGCTCCCAAGTATTGGGCCTCTGCACACACTGCCTCTGTTCACTCATGTAAACCCTGGTCTCCAGGCTTTGTTGCAGCTTCAGAACAGTGGGAAAGGAATTGGCAATGTTGATAAGATATCACACTGTGTATTGGTTTTGCACGGTTAATAGCTGAATGCTTTAACAACTTTATCAGTCCCACTTGCTTAACAAATATGCTAAAAACCGGAACTGTGGTTCCAAGGGCTCCAAAGTAAATAGGACAAGTATTGTTGGCTTGAATATTTCCTCCTTGCAATAAACTGGAGTTCAAAGAAGCTAAGAATTAAGAGGTGCACTTTTCATGTGTAATTCAGTTTAACAAACATTTATTGTTAAAAATTCCTTTAACTTTTCCTTCTTGATACAGTGAGTCCTTTATAGCAGAGGGAGTGTAGGCCCAAACACTGAAGTTGTCCCAGTTGGGATTATCAGAGGTTATCTGCAGGGCAGGAGAGTTGAGGAAATCTCTGCTCTGTTCCGTGGTTTTCTTCCCAATACTGCCTTTTCTTTGGAGAAGCTCTGAACATCCAAAGAACAGTGTTGAAAAATAAAAAGAATACTGAAATAATATTGAATGTAAAAAACCCCACTGATTCACAAGTTTCCTCCCGCAATCCTGTCCATTTATTTGGTGCTACATTGATCCATATTTCCTGAGGTCTCGTCAGTCAGCAACAATCACCCAGGCCACTGTGCTGACAAAGTTTGGCCTATGTTATAATGGAGGGAGCAGGAACTCTCTCACAGGAGGCAAAACCCGTTGGGAAAGTAGACAATACTGGGACACATAGGTGGCTCTCACCAGCGTATTCAGACCCACCCACTGCTCGAAGATAACGCTTTGCACATCTCTACTCAGATATCTATTCCTAGCAGTTGCTTGGCTTGACAGAGGAAGCCTGGTTGGTGTGGTGAAGACATTTGGGGGAATTTTGAACAGAATTAATGTCATGGAGGGTCAAAGAGCAGGGACCTCCCTTTGGGCAGGTAGTAGTGGGAGCTGTGCATCACTGGCACCCAGGGTAAAGGGATTAATGCAAGCTACAGCCCCAGGTTCTCCAAAGCCCGTCCTGGGAGCCTCTATGGACCTGTGGTGTCCAGGTGAGGAGCTGCTGCAATGGCACCTGCCTGCACATACAGAAAGATAATGTGATACAGGCCAGGTAAGGCAGAGAGTGGAGCAGAAGAAAGGGTAGACAGTTCTATTCACACCAGAGGGAAGGACTGAAAGGATGGAGCTGGGGGCCCTGGCAACTTCCTGGCAGAGTGGCTCAGAAGACAGGAGTCCTCTTCAGAAAGACTCAGGAAGGACATCAGGAAGGTGATGCTAAAAAGGCCCCAGGTACCAGTGACTGGTTGCTGGCTTCTGTGCACATCTCATCAGCTCTCACAGAGGGCTGAGGACTTCTTTCTTAAAGGTTCCCAGGGAAATAGATCTCACTCATCTGAAAACAACAACAACTTAATGTTTGTCACCAGAAAGTCCAAGTACCATCTACAGTAACAGTGTTCTATTTTTCTCTCCTTGTCCTTGGTGAAAGTGAGAGTTGCTTCTTTGGTTTGGAGGGACCTTCTTGCCCACAGTGAGCCAGAGGTCAGGCCCTTCCTACACTGGGCAGAGGAGCTGGGGCAGTTCTGGGACTCACCCTGGTGCCCTCAGCCTGTGGCGGGTGGGGGCATGACTCCCAGCTCAGGGCCCTTCCTACCCCCTACTCAGTTCTCAATCAGGCAAGTCCTACTTTCTGTGTTTGGGATGTCACTGCATCACTAATGCTCACTTTCACCTGTGTGATGAAGACCACCTCCTACTTCTCTGACCTCTGACTTCAGTGCTTGTTCAATGGTTTTGACCATTCTGCAGACAGCTGGGAGGCACTGGGTACATGACCCACCTGAAATGCAGGCCCTAGGAATGTGTCACTCCACAAATGGAGCCCTCTAGTTACCCCAGAGCAAGGAGCCAGAGCTCTGCTCTACCCACATGCACCCCCACCCCCAACTCAGGAGGAAAAAACCACCTATCTATCCAATGCCAGGGAACTTTGAAAAGATGCCAAGGTACCCTGAGCCTACAAGTGATGAGGTCCAGAGAAGAAATTCAGCTCCAAATGGAAAAGGAGTGTGTGCAGACCCAAAGAGCTATTCCTGGAAAGCCTCAGGCACATAGAAAACAAGAAACCATCGATGAGTGGGCAGCTTTACCTCCTTTGATGTAGGACCTGCCATGTCAGGATCCACAGTCTGCTCAGGATGAGCCTTCCCTGGTCACATCAGAGCATCCGGTGGGAGCTGTGGATATCTGTTCATTGCAGAGAGAAGGCTCTGCACTGCAGGTAGGCGACTCCTGGAGGAAGAACAGCTTCAAAGAGGATCACCACATACTCAGGTCAGGGGTACTGGGGAGCAGACCACAGGAGAACAGCACTGTCTGTGGACATGTGGGCATTGCCACATCAGTGGAGGACGGTGATCCTCACTGACCTGTGAGACTTCACAAGGGTGACCTCAGGGCCAAAGGGCCCTTGTTGAAGCCACTGCAACTGAAGTTGGAGAATGAATTCTTGTTCCAAGTCATCAGGAGCTTGGACTACGGGCTTGTGCCTTGCTTATTTGTGGGGATGGATTTCCTTCCTTTTTTTAAGCTGAAACCTTGTGTTTGCACAGTTTGGACCAAGTTACAGGGTTGTCTGGTGATGAAGGTTCCCAATCTCTGCCCATGATTTTGACCGAAACAAAATTTCGCAGGTGCAGTATCTTTTGGTTCCAGGGTGATATAGAGTCAGTATTCTCCATGTGAAATCCTCACCCTATAGCCCTCCTGAGAGATGCACAGATAGGCAGAATTTAGTGTGTGGGTCACCTGAAAAGCTGTGTGAGCCCCTTATTCTTTTTAAGTCTCTGTGTTGGGGGGATTTACTAATGGGAGGAGTTTCGTGTAGGTAGCATTAACCTTCTGCCAATGTTTTACTTCCCTCAGTTGTTGAATTGGAAGATTAGGTGGTGATTTATCAAAAAGCACAGTAGAAAAAACTTGTCATCATCGCTGAGACCTCAGGTATTGGCAGCTGCAATTTGCAGGCTAGAAGGTAAGCTCTGATTCATTGCTTTTGTATTTTCTAAAAGAGTCCTGTGGAATTCGAAAACAGACCACCGAAAAAGTGAGACCTCTGTTCTTCTGAAGTCAGTCAGAGTGAGAGCTAATGCTTCCAGAGTGAGGGACACAGGGGACAGAGAGACCCAAGTTGGAGGCAGGGCTTTGCTCACTGTGTGGTCTGGGCACGTTATTTAACTTTACCCTTCAGTTTGCTTCCTTGGTTAATGTTCTCCTTAGTACTATTAGCTTCTCAGTAAATTATCTTGGATTTTTCAGGTGGGTAATTATATTTTCTACAACTAGTGAGGTTTTTACCTCTTCTTTTCTAGTATTCATAGTAGACCTTCTTTTCTCTGGTTTCCTTGCCTTGGTTAGAAGTAGCAGCAGTATTCTGAATGGAAACAGTGGTAACAGACAGACCCGTGTCACATTCCCGCTCTTACTGGTGGTGTTTTAAATGCTTCATATTCAGTATGATGATTGCTGTGTGTTCTAGTGGTCAGCTTAAGTAGGTTTCCTTGTGCATTTTAAAAATTATGTGTGGATGTCAAATCTTGTCCTGTTCTTGGCATCTATTCCCCCAAATGATCATATAGCATTTCTTCTTTAGGCTATAAGATGATGCATGTGATCAATAGTTTTCCTATTAATGAATTAATTACTTTCCTGTTTTGAATCACCTTTCAATTGTCCAGTTAATCTCTAGTTAATGCATTTTTCTTTTTAATACCCTATGACTTGGTCTGATTATATTTTATTTGGGATTTTAAAAAATGTAAGCTTCAAAGTCACATTCTTGTATTATTTTCTGTGTGCTGTCTTTATCTGGTTTTGTGAATGCAACTTCTAATTAATCGTGTTGACTTAAAGGAGCACGCCAGAAGAGAGAGAGGCACATGCTGAAGGAGCTCCAGCTCCTCCTGTTGGCCATCCTGCTGCTTTCCTGGGGCTTCCTCTATCAGCTCACCCTGAAGTGCAGCTGCCTCTTCTCCTGCCTGGCCCCCAACAAGTCCCAGCAGGGGCTGGGAGCCCTCCTGGGCCAGGGGCCCAGCATTGTGTTCCTAGAGACCTCTGAGAGAATGGAGCCTCCCCCGCTGGTCTCCTGCGCTGTGGAGTCGGCTGCCAAGGTTTATCCTGAGCAGCTGGCGGTGTTGTTTATGAAGGGTCTCAGTCATTCCCTGCAGATGCCTCCAAACTCCACCTCCCCAGCCTTTTCCCTCCTCTCAACAATAGACAATGTTTCCTCTTCCTTTTGGATATGAAAAGGCTGTTTGAAGACACACCATTGTTTCCATGGTACACTCAAGTAAGTGTTCACAGAATCTCAGAGTCCCCGTGTAGGGAGGAACCACAGAAAATGAGTCCAACCTACCTACCCATTTGACAGATGGGTAAACTGAGGGTAAGGACACAGTGTCAGAGGTGGGACTAGAACCCAGATCCTTGAACTCTTGCCTGGTCTTCTTTCCACGGTGTTGAGTTCTGATGCAAGTAATCAAGAGAGACTTAAGTTACACTCACCTTTAGCCTGCTGACTTTTGCGTCTAGCTTTCTACCTTAGTATCTGGGTTACATCTGAGACTATTCTTAGGTGAATGAGTTTCTATATCTTTTCTACTGTCAGTTGTAAACTCATCCATGTTAAACTTCTTTGCACCTGAAGGGGAAACCAGGCAGTATTTCACTTGAAAATCATGTAAACAGAAAACTCATAAAGGATCAGGTGGAGTGCAGCTATATGAGATTGGGTATATTTAGATATATTCAAGAAACTGCTGGAACTCTCAGGAATTTTGTAATCACCACCTTAGTAACACAGCATAATAGGAACATAGTATCTCAGTTAAACATTTCTCTCATGAGGACCCACAGTTGGGTAGCATTTAAGGAAATTACAGGATAACCACTCAGTGACTCCACTGTGCAGCTTCAACTGTGTCACCTTGTGAAGACTGCAACGTGGGATTAAATACTCGTACGTTGTAAAGCAAACACGATGATTTTACCTATGCAATGCCCCTCCCCCAATCTATTGGATGAGAATATGTGAATTTTATCAATAAAATTGTTTTTTTAAAAGTAATTAAAAATTGACATCAACATACACGATAACATTTGCTTGCCATATAAAGTCCTAAGTTCTAATCCTAGGCTAGATCAAACGTCAGAAAGCCTTTTCTCTGCAAAGATCCAGAAAGTCAGGACTTCAGGTTCTGCAGGCCAACAGGCACAATTGAGGCCATTTATGAAGGCACTTGCATTAGTTTCCTCTGGGTGAGTAACAAAATGCCACAACCTTGGTGACTTAGAAGAACAAACAAGTGTTCCCTCAGTCATGGAGACCTGGAGTCCCAAATGAGGTTCACAGGGTGCATTGCAAGGGGCTGGCAGGGCCCATTCCCTGCACTGTTGGGGGGTCTGTAGGAGAGTTTCCTTCCAGCGGGGGTGGGGGGACATCACTGCAGTCTCTGCCTCCCTCTCTACACCCCTTGTCCTGTGTGTGAGAACTCTCCCTCCCCCTCACTGGGTAAAGACACATGTAATCCTATTTAGAACCCATTGAGATAACCTCCCCATCCCTCCATCCTCAGTTTATCACATCTGCAAAGACCTTTTTTCCACGAGGGAACAGTTGCAAGTTCCAGGACTCAGGCCCTGATATCTTTGCACGTCTGTTACTCACCCTACTGCAGTATTCATGTCTAAAACAGGGAGACTTCTGCCCACCCTGCCTCATTCCCCTGGGGCTTTCCTGGGTGGAGGCCACCCTTGCCCCAGGGTGCTGTCATCTAGAGACGTTTTCTAGAATAAAGGGCAGGACGCAGTGTACAAGTGTATGTGTGGGGAAGGGGGGCAAGTAGGGAATTAATCAATTTCACTCTTGACCCTGTGACTTTAGATTCCAGTGTTCCCACTTTTTCTTCTGAAGTGTGTAGAAGTTTCAAAGAGGCAGTTGTGAGGAGGAGGAAAATGACTCACTAGACTGAGATTTCACTGCAGTTGCCAGCACCAGATCCTAACAAATAGGTGGTGACCACTGGGGAGCAGGACCCAGTACAGGGCATAGGCCTGGTGGGTCACTCAGCGCTCTCCTGTGTGAGGGTGCTCCAGGACTGTACAAGACCAGGCTATCTGCTGGCTCAGACCCCACTCCTGGGCTCAATTAACATAACTTAAACTGTGCTCCTTGGGAAAAGAAACCTCTACTCAAATTGTTTTGGGAGATGCCACACACTATTCATTTCTTACAAACTAATCATGCACATGAAGAGATTAAAGGCTCTGTGTAGTTCTGAACCTAAGAGACTTTGATTCATGCCAGCATTTTACAAACTTATTTGAGCATGGAACCCACTTTCAGGATGATGAAAATGTTTTCTTGGAGCAAACATTTTGTGCAACACAGTTTGTGTTTCTCTAAGCTCAGCTTTGCTGTTGGGCATTTGAGATAAGATGGGCCTTGGGACACAGCTCTTAGGTGTCTGCCCCATCTAAACCTGCTATGCACTACACCAGACTGAGCTCACTACCCTTGGGGCAGCTAGGTGTGGCATGTTCTGACCCAGTGAGGCCATCTCAGGATCGATGGGGGGAAGCTGTTAGGGATGGCTCAATGTGTCATCAGCTGCTGGTGAGCACCAGGTGTGCTGCACTGATTTGACCACCGTAGCCCCTGAGGATGCCCAGGGTTGAGTCCGGTGGGGAAGGGACATGGTGAGGAACCAGAAACCTAATGCACTGTCTGGTGCTCACCCTGGGGGCAGCTCTTGAGTTTCAGGCCAATATCAGTCCAATGCCCACATTCAGGCTGGCTTCCACACCCTCCCATTCTGGGAAGCTTTTGTTATCCTATGTCTCTGGGTCAGCTCACTAACCACCACCACTTTACTAACTAATCAACACAATTTCTACCAAAACCATTTTGTTTAAATAAGTGGATATCTGGACCCAGATTGCCTGGGTTCAAAGTCAACTTCTACGTCTTTGACTTTGGACAAATAACTGAATTTCTTGATCCTTTTAGTTTTTCACTTGATAAATGGGAATAATCATAATACCAATCTTTGATAATTGTGTAGATCATAAAAAACTTAAGACAGTTTTTGATAACTTTTAGCTATTATTATTTACCAGGTCTTCAGCAATTGCATGTCATATGATGATGTGAAAAACTCTTGTGAAGATTTCTGCAAAGTCTTAGTTAACCTGTTTCATTTGCCTTTTTATTTTTATTTATTTTTAATCTTTTCCCCCTTTTTTAAAATTGTTTTTCAAGTACAGTTGTCTCCATTCCCCACCACCACCATCTCAACCCTACCCATCCCCACCTGCTACCTTAGAAACTACCCCACTTTGGCTTTGTCTGTGTGTCCTTTATACATGTTCCTGACAACCATTCCTTCTTTCTACCTCATTATGCCCCCCTCCCCTCTAGTGACTGTCAGTTTGTTCTTGATTTCCATGTCTCTGGTTATATTTTGCTTGCTTGTTTGTTTTGTTGATTAGGTTCCACTTATAGGTGAGATCATATGGTATTTGTCTTTCACTGCCTGGCTTATTTCACTTAGTGTAATGCTCTCCAGATCCATCTAAGCTGTCATGAAGTGTAGGAGCTCCTTCTTTCTTTCTACTGCACAGTATTCCATCATGTAAATGTACCACCGTTTTTTGATCCACTCCTTTACTGATGGGCTCTTAGGCTATTTCCTTGTACTTGGCTATTGTAAATTGTGCTGCTATGAACATTGGGTTGTATAGATTTCTGTGAATTGGTGTTTCAGGATTCTTAGGGTATAGTCCCAGCAATGGAATTGCTGGGTCAAAAGGGAGTTCTGTTTTCAGTTTTCTGAGGAAATTCCATACTGTTTTCCACAGTGGCTGCAGCAGTCTGCATTCCCACCACCAATGTACTAGGGTTCCCTTTTCTCCACAAACTTGCGAGCACTTATTGTTTGAACAGTGTGAAGTGGTATGCCATTGTGGTTTAATTCGTATCTCTTTGATGGTAAGTGATGCTGAGCATCTTAAGTGGACACCAGCCCGCAGAGTCCGCGGCGTTATGGATGAGACACTAGACAAATTCACATGGACTACTGAATCCTATGGAGGAAAAGGGACGGCATGGCTACTCTCTCAAGAGGACAGTGCCCTAACCCTTGCCTTGACAAGCTTTTATTGGCTTTCAATTTGCACAGGAATACAGGTAAAGCTCATCAATCATTGTCAGGCAGTAAGGATCAAACAATAGATAGCATACAAAGAACTACCAGGGCTTATTCTGAGTCAGGGTCTGTTAGCTAAAGGGCTACAAAACTTTGGGAAACAAACTCATTTCCTGCTAGGACCCTTATCATTTAATTGAGAGAATTCTTAGCAAAGCAGGTTTCGCAGGATTTTATATATTCTTCCTTAGGCCTGATCACCTGGGGAATCTGCCCTTTCCAGCACAGGGCTGCACCACCCTCTGTCATTGTTTCAGGCTTAAGTCAGGCAAGGGAAGTAAGGCAGCCAAGAGATTAGGAGACTTCTCACAGACAAAATGAGGAATCAGGCTATGTCAAAGCCAAGGGGCGAGGGTCCATTACCTCCTTTTACTATAGTCCCCCGAGTCCTTCCCTGGGGGCTCCCCGTGATTGTGCCTGTCTTAGATAATTTCTCTCTCGAGGAATCTTACCCGTCATTGGCTAACTGATCAAGCATTGGGGGCCAGGCAGGGAGAAGTAAAAGGAGCAGAAGCGGTGTCCCTGCCAGGGAGATAAGCTTTGTCTCCTTAGTGACTTATGGGCTGAATGTTGTTCACTAAGCCTTAGCCGTGTGTGTGTGTGTGTGTGGGGGGGGCAGGGGTTACAGCTTCTGAAACCAGGCAGGGCAGTTCCCAACAAGCATCCTTTCATATATCTCCAGTTCATCTCTAGGTCTTCCTTGGAGAAGTGTCTGTTCGCGTCCTTTGCCCATTTTTTAATTGGATTGTTTGTCTTCCTGGAGTGGAGTCATGTGAGTTCTTTATATATTTTGGAGATCAAACCCTTGTCCAAGGTATCATTTGCAAATGTATTTTTCCATACAGGTGGATCCTTTTTTATTTTGCTGATGTTTTTGTTAGCCATGCAGAAGCTTTTTATTTTGATAAAGTCCCATTTGTTTATTCTTTCCTTTATGTCTCTTGGTCTAAGGGGCATATCACCTAAGTGAAAATATTGCTGCGTGGAATATCTGAGATTTTCCTGCCTATATTGTCCTCTAAGACTTTTATGGTGTTGCGATTTATACTTAAGTCTTTTATCCATCTTAAGTTAATTTTTGTGTATGGTGTAGGTTGGTGGTTGAATTTCATTTTTTTGCATGTGGCTGTTCAGATCTCCCAACACTATGTGTTGAAGAGGAAACTTTTACTCCATTTTATGCTTCTGCCCCCTTTATCGAATATTAATTGACCATAGAGACTTGGGTTTATTTCTATGCTCTCTATTTCTTTCCATTGATCTATGTGTTTGTTCTTATGCCAGTACCAGACTGTTTTGATTACTGTGGCTTTGTAATATAGTTTGATATCAGGTATTGGGATCCCTCCTACTTTGTTCTTCTTTCTCAAATTGCTGTGGCTATTCGGGGTCATTTGTGGTTCCATATAAATTTTTGAAATGTTTGTTCTATATCTGCAAAATATGTCATTGGTATTTTAATAGGGATTGCATTGAATCTATAGATTGCTTTGGGTAGTATGGGCATTTTGATAATTTTAATTCTTCCAATCCATAAACATGGTACATGCTTCCATTTGTGTCTTCCTTAATTTCTTTCTTCAGTGTTGTATAGTTTTCTGAGTACAGGTCTCTTACCTCCTTGGTTAGGATTATTCCTAGGTACTTTATTTTTCTTGTTGCTATACCAAATGGGATCTTTTTCCTGGTTTCTGTTTCTGATATTTCATTGTTGGTATACAAAAATGCCTTTGACTTGTGAATTGGTCCTGAGAGGTGGTTAGTATGGCTTCCATTCACTCCTCCACCATCTCCCCTCTAAAGGCTCATTTGGCTTTAAAAAAAAATAAATGTATTGGGGTGGCATTGGTAAAGAGGTTTCCATTGTACATTTCTATGACACTAAGTCTGCATGTTGCACGGTGTGCCCCGCACCTACAGTCAAACCGTCTTCCATCACCATATATCAGGCCCCCTCCACCCCTCACCCCCTTCCCTCTGGCAACCCCCTCGTTGCTTTTCAAAGCCAAGAGTTGCTGTTTAATTTTTAATCAACATAATTCAATTTAGAAAAACCTATTTTGTTTTCCTGCAGAGTTTAGCATTTGTCTGGAAGCACTGCCAATTATTATGAGTTATTTTTATTCTTTTAAAAAGTATTTTCCATGTTGTTCACCTTGTAGCACTTGCAGTCATCCAGTCTTTCCTGCCCCATGTCCAGTCCATCAAAATCGGATGGCTTGTTCTTTGCCACGTGTGCAGGACTTGACCCCTTCTCCCACCGCCTCCACTATCACCCTCCTTCACCTTCACCTCTTGCTGGATTATTTCAACAATCTCTTCACTTGACTCTTTACTTCTGCCTTTGCCACCTCCCAACCCCCACCCTGTCTTTTTCCACAGAGCTGCGAGTGGGGCCCTTTGAAGACTAATTCAGATCATATCCCGCCTTTCCTCCAAATCTCCCAAAGCAGTTTAGTATTTTTTATGTTTTATTTTCATTTTAATATGTTATTAATTATGCTATTACAGTTGTTTCATTTTCCTCCCTTCAGTCACCTTCACCCTGCACACCCTCTCCCACCCATTCCCCCCCTTTAGTTCATGTCCATTTATCATACGTATAAGTTCTTTGGCTTCTACTTTTCCCATACTATTGTTACCTGCCCCCGTGTCTATTTTCTACCTACCATCTATGATACTCATTCTCTGTGCCTTCGCCCGCCTCTTTCCCTCCTACTCCCTTGTTGATAACCCTCCATGTGATCTCCATTTCTGTGGTTCTGTTCCTGTTCTAGTTGTTTGCTCAGTTTGTTTTTGTTTTTGTTTTAGGTGTGGCTGCTTTTGTTTTAGGTGAGTTTGCTGTCATTTTACTGTACATATTTTTTATCTTCTTTTTCTTAGATAAATCCCTTTAACATTTCATGTAATAAGGGCTTAGTGGTGATGAACTCCTTTAACTTGACCTTATCAAAGAAGCACTTTATCTGCCCTTCCATTCTAAATGAAAGCTTTGCTGGATAGAGCAATCTTGGATGTAGGTCCTTGCCTTTCATGACTTCGAATACTTCTTTCCAGCCCCTTCTTGCCTGTAAGATCTCTTTTGAGAAATCAGCTGACAGACAGTCTTATGGGAACTCTTTTGTAGGTAATTGCCTCTTTATCTCTTGCTGCTTCTAGGATTCTCTCCTTCATTTTAATCATGGCTAATGTAATTATGATGTGCCTTGGTGTGTTCCTCTTTGGGTCCAACTTCTTTGGGACTCTCTGAGCTTCCCGGACTTCATGGAAGTCTGTTTCCTTTGCCAGCTTGGGGAAGTTCTCCTTTATTATTTGTTTTAGATAACTTTTCCACTTGTTGCTTTTCCTCTTCTCCTTCTGGTACCCCTATAATTTGGATGTTGTAACATTTAAAGATGTCCTGGATGTTCCGGACCCTCTCCTCATTTTTTAAAAGTTCTTATTTCTTCATTCTTTTCTGTTTGGTTGTTTCTTTCTTCCTTCTGGTCCACTCCATTGATTTGAGTCCCAGTTTCCTTCCCATCACTATTGATTCCCTGTACATTTTCTTTTATTTCACTTAGCGTAGCCTTCATTTTTTCATCTAGTTTGCAACTAAATTCAACCAATTCTGTGAGTCTCCTGATTACCAGTGTTTTGAACTGCACATCTGATAGGATGGCTATCTTTTCATTGCTTAGTTGTATTTTTCTGGAGCTTTGATCTGTTCTTTTGTTTGGGCCTTTTTTTTTTCATCTTGATGTGCATGTTACATAGTGAGATGCGGAGCTTTAGGTGTTCACCAGAGTGGGGTAACCCACATCACTAAGTTGTGATGCTGTATGTGGGGAAGGGATCCAAGAGGAAACAATGGTGCTTGCTGTGTTCTCTTCCAGCTTTTAGTCACTTCCCCCACTTCCCACAAGCAAATTGGGCCCTTCTGGTGCTGATTCTCGTGTGGGTGGGATTTTGTATGTTCTAGGACCCCATGGGTCTCTCCAGTGAACTTTCCTGTGAGGCTGGGAGTTTCTCCCACTGCTGCCTCAAATCCCACAGGTGTTTTCAATCAGTGGTTTGAGGCTTTATTTCCCAGAGCTGGGACCCTGGGTTTTGTGGTCTGTCCTGCTCCCTCTTTGTTTCGCCTGGTTTATCTGCATACAAATGTGGGATTACCTGTTCCGACAGCCACTGCCTTGCTGGTCAGCTGCAGCCTTGTGCACCCTGTTGTACAATCTGCTGACTTGCTGGGTCCACTAGCTGCCACTTTGCCACAAGTCCTCTCTTCCCCAGCTGCCCAACTCCACCCCTCCTACTGGTCTGGATGAACGTGTCTTCTTTAATTCCTTGGTTGTCAGACTTCCATACAGTTCAATTTTCTTTCAGTTCTGGTTGTTTTTTATTTTTAAACTCTTGTTGTCCTTCTTTTGGTTGTGCGAGGAGGCACAGTGTGTCTACCTATGCCTCCATCTTGGCTGAAAGTCCGTAAGTTTAGTCTTTACCCAGCCCACATAATCCACCCTCCTTCTCTACCCACTACCTCTCTGATCTCATCTCCTACCCCTCTTTCCTCACTAGTTTGCTTTGTCCACAGTGCCTTCCTCCCACTCCTGCCTCAGGGCCCTCACACTAGCCATTCTCTGTATCCAGAACCTCCTCAGAGGTTCAGCACAGTTCACCTACTCACTTCCTTCCAGTTTCTGCTGGAACCCAAGACTGTGCTCCACCCTGCCCCCTTCATAGCCCCTTCACTCAGCTTTTTTCCTTCATAGTCCTTACAAACACACAACATGTTACAACCCATTGAAATTGACTCACAGAGTTCATTGAGACATCCTTTTTAGGTTTCTACTTTACCTTTCCACTGCTTTCATTTTTTGAAAAACAATTTCATGAAATCTTTAAAAGCCAGTAACATCTTCCCATGAATACTGATTGCTCTCAACTGTTTACTTAAAGTCAACATTTTGGGGTGGAAGAGGTAAGTTTGGTAAATTCTCAAAATTGGATTTTTGGCCAATAAAGTTTTGGGAAGCTGGCTTGCTGGCCCCTCCTCAGCCCCCAGGTCCTGGTCTACTGCTGTGACCCCCGCTCCCTTCCCCGCTGCTGGGGGCTGATGCACACCTGCTCCTGCAGATCAATGGCAGTGCACAGAGAAAGTGGTTGCAGGTCAGCTCAGATGGGGTCCGACTGGCCATCATCTGGAAGTGTGGACAGCGAAGTCATCTCGGTCAGGCCCATCCCCCAGGAGAACTTTTTGGCTGCACAGGCTTTTCAGTTCGCTAGTAGTGACGTGTTTGGATTCCTCCCCCCGCACACCTTCCTGTGGGAGTGCATGGAGAACTTTGTTGAACACTACAACTCTCACATTTGGGGCAACCAGGGACCTGATTTGATGACAAGGATGTTGAGACTGTGGTGCAAACTTGAAGACTTTCAGGGGATAAGTGACCTCAGGTGTTCGAACTTGTCCTTTCTACATCCCCAAAGATTTTACCCCATCTCCTACCCAGAGTGGAGGCGCTACTATGAAGTCTGGGACACACACCCCAGCTTCAATGACTCTTATGCCCTGCATCTGTGGAACTACATGAACCAGGAAGGGAGGGATGTGGTTACAGGCAGCTACACACTGGCGGAGAATCTTTACCGAAAGCACTGTCCCAAGACCTAAAGGGATCTGATTCAAGGTCCCCCAGGCTTGGTGACTGGGGAGTTGGGTCCAGGGAACAAATAGAGCCAATGTTGGTTCATTGCTGCTACATCAGGACACTAAGCACTGCCTGGGGAGCCATGCTTTCCCTTGATCACCACTCTCCCCTGGATGTGGGGTCTTAACTACAAGTCATTTACAATTAGCTTCCCCTGCCTGACATAGACAAGTCCCAGAGAACTTTGGCCTGATTCTGTGTCAGGCATTGACCCTGGTGCCACCAAGTTGTTTGTGTGTGCTATGGCAGAGGTGGCACCTCAGAAGGTGACAGCTCCCCAGGGCAATGTGATCTAGTCCTCTATCAACTCTTGGTCTCCTTGGGACGTGGAACAGAGCCTGGCACACGGCAGTGCTCCAGAACTCTCAAGCGTAGTGCGTGGCAGGTCTGTGTCAGCTGAGGCTGGAGTCTCTTTGGCCTCACGGACAAGGAAGACTGGGGTGCATGTCAAATCCACTTTCTCACAACAGTCCTGCAAAAGTGGGCACTACACTTACATATGGGGAGATAGAGGCTGGTGGAGATGGCAAACACAAACAGGCATCCTCACAGTTACTTTCTGCACACTTCAGGGATAAGTTGGGATGAGAGCAGGGAAGCAAAGGTTCCCCACAGATTTCCCACTGGACTGAACTTGGAGGACACTCCCTGACTTTCAGAGCCTGGGATGAGCCTAGGGATGCTTTAGCTAAGTGAGTTCTCAGAATGACTTTGCTCAATAGAGTTTATTTTTCCCACTTTAGAAAGAGGTTAAGTGACTTTCCCAGGGTTGCACAACTTGGGAATATGGAATGTAAATGAATCTTTTACTCCAGAGCTCAGGCTGTTCTCTCCCCTGCAGTGAGCAGGAGGAATCCCTGGAGAGAAAAGCATGCCCTGACTCTGAAAGGAGGAGAAACAGATGCCCCATGAGGGCAGATGCCCAAAGACCTTCCTACTTTGTCCTGGTCTCCGTCCCACAGGTTTTTTTAAGTTTAAAAAATTGTGATAAAATGTACACACTATAACAGTTGCCATTTTAACCATTTAAAGTGTGTAATTCAGTGGCATTAAGTACATTCACATTGTTGTGCAAACACCACCACTATCTGCCTCTAGAACTTTTGTATCACCCTGAAGTGAAGTTCTGTGTCATTAAACACTAACCCCCCATTCCCTGCCCACCCTTTTCTCAGCCCTGGTAACCACTCTTGTAGTTTCCAGAATATCTCTATGGGTTCCACTATTTTAGGGATGATGTATGAGGGAAATCATGTAACATGTTTCAGAATGCCATTCCTTTTTAATTAAATAATATTCCTTTGTATGTATGTGCCGCACTTTTGAATCCATTCATATGTCGATGGACACTTGGGTTGCTTTCACCTTTTGGGTATTGCAGATAATGCTGTTATAAACTTGTACATGCAAATACCAGTTTCTGCTTTCAATTCTTTTGAATACACAGCCAGAAAGGACCTGCTGGACCCTATGGCAATATTATGTTTAATTTTTTGTGAATCGCCATTCTCTTTTCCACAGCAGCTGTACCATTTTTTACTCCTATCAGCAATGCAAGGGCTTCCAATGTTTCCGCACCCTTGCCAACATGTGTTCCCACACAATTTTGCTTTGGCTGACCCAAGATACAGAGCTTGGCAGATTGAGGCTCACGTGGGAGAAAGGCTTTAAAAAATTCCCAGAAATGTGAGTCTCAGTAAAGCCAAGACCAGCTATAGTGTGGGATGAAGATCTGGTGTTGGAGAGACAGAGCTCTTTGGTCCTGGGCTTCACAGCTAGATGCACAGGAGAAAGCCAGCAGGTTGGGGGAGGGGTATAATTGACATCTGACCAAGCCTGGGGCTCACCCAAAAGACTAGAGTGGGGCCAGATCAGAAACCAGGAAGGTCCCTTTAGTTTAGGGCTGGTGGCCTGGGATGTCTGCCCAAGAGTCTGCAGGTGCCCCTGCTTTTGTGCCATTCACATGGATCCTGGATTTTCCTGAGGGATTAAACCAGTCATTCCCTCCTTTCCCCTCCAATCAGATCTAAAAATAGCTCATCCCAGAGCAATGAGGGGAGAGGCTCCACTTCTCCTCATAGAGGTGTGGGATGCCTGCCTGGGGAGAGGGGATTCCTTGGACATCTCAGGCCTCAGCTACTAATGCTGAGAGGTTCTCTTGTCCTTGTCCCATTGGCAGCAATGAGGTGGCCCGTGGCTGTTTCCACCCTGCAGAGTAGGAGGTTTCCCAGAGTGGGAAAGCATCCTCACCTGGAGCAGCCACGAAGAGCCAGGTGGATTCTGGCAATGGCCTGGGCATGTCAAAAGCTATTGGGTGCTGTTGAGCTGTTGACCACAGCTGAGTGAGCCCAGAGGCGGGGCCAGGCTGAGGTGTGGAACCAGTAGGTGGGGAATTCTGCCCACTCTCTTGGTTCCCGAAACAGTTAGGTGAGTCAGGCAGTTTAGGAAAACTGCCAGGGATTAGGCCCCAGGTGGGCACAGCTGGGGAGCATCTGTGCAGTTCCAGTAATTCGTGCTACCAGTGGCTAGAAGCTAAACATTAGCAGCTCCAGATGCCCCTGAGGGCTACAGATTGATATTTAAGAATCAGCCAGAATTTCATTTAACAATCAGCTCTTTGGTCCGTGTTATAGAAGTTGGTGGACAGGTTTCAAAGAACTGCAAAGGCTCCAGGAATTGTTTCCCAGAGGGATTGCTGCCTTGTGTGGTGGTGAACCCCCCTCACTGGCAACCTGCGAAGCCAGGGCTCCCTTCCTTGGCTGTGGATTTCCCATGGCAGAAACCCTCTTGAACAAGGCAGGGAGTTCGGAAATGCTAGCATAAATACCATTCTTTTGGGTCTCACTAATTGATGACATTGACCTGGGATTGGGATCTTTCTTGGGGCCCATCAAAACATTGAGAGATGGTTGACAAAACTTCAGATTTTTTAATGACAGTCATTTCTGTCTGTTGTTATTGTTATTAGATGTGGGACAAGCAGTCCCCTGCTCATTTCCTGTGGAGAAACTAAGGATTCCATCCCCTCCCCCACAGGGCATGTGGTTTCCAGGTAACCAGTAACATTCTTATTTCACTTTGTCTTCTGGACTCAGCTGTGAAGTTGAGTCTGTGGAGATCCAGGGAGAATTGAAGGTCTCCAGCACTTACTGTATTGTGAATCACTATAAACTTTCAGTTCTTGCAGTCTGGTGAAGAAACTTCAGGTACTGTAATTTCCATAATGAGAAATAATTGCTGTATTATCACCATCAACATTGGGAGGTAGTTTGGCATACTCCAAAAGCTTCAGACTCAAACAGAACTTGAAGGTTGGCTTTCTTACTTAGTAGCTGAGTGGTTTAGGGGAGGTCCCTTAGCTTTTTGAGCCTCAGTTTTCACATTTTTCAGTTGAGGCAAATGACAGCTTCATACAAGGCCATAGGATGGCTAGAAGTAGAGCTCTGAAAGGCTGCCACAGTGCCTGGCACATAGATACGTAATAAATGATGGCTGCTGTCATCATCATAATCCTCAATCCCCACGGTTTTGCCTCACACTTTGAGGTCAGAGACTTAGGACAACTGAGAATTGGACTTGGGATTTCAGTGAAAGAAAAGAGTGAGACTTTTGGGGCTTAGTAAAACCTCATGAACTAGGACCACTGCTTCAGAATGCTGTATAACTGGGAGTGGGGCTGCCACCATCAGTTTTAGAGAGTGGGCTCAGAGGGTCAACGTGAGGGATTTAGGGCTGCTTGGGGGGCAAGCTACGACCCTGTGCTCTTATCTCGACAGTGAGTGTGGGCTTTGGGGCTTCTCACTGGTGAGTCTGAACCCACCCATAAGGGCTCCTGAGCTTTCCTAGTGGCCAGTAGGATTAAGCTATGGACACAGTCGGTCAACAAACCAATCACTTTAGTAAGTGTGGATAACCTGTGACTCTGAGGAGTCCAAATTAAGGACTCCTAACTCCATTCTTATACTTTCTCCTAATTCTTGCTGGTCTGTAGCCTCATTTCTCCAAGACCCCAAGAATGTAGAATTTTGAGGCAGATAGTCTAAGATTTTGACAATTTTGTTTTAGTTTAATAGCAATCTGGGCTGTGGGTAATATGCCAGGGGCTGGAGTCCAACAAATGCAAGTAAGTCAAGGTTCAGCCTTTATGGACCTCACAGCTGGAGGAATTGGAGATGGGCCGAGAGATGAGACAGAAATACCTGCTGTGTGAGGCCCCTCTTGGTTCTTCCACAGCACCCTGTCCGAGCTCCTACCCTGACACCACTCTGTACAGCAATTTCTATGTATTTTTCTGTCTTCCTGGAGAACAAACTCTGGAGCCAGACACCATCACTTACTAGTGGTGTGATTGTGGGAAAGTCATTTGTCTTCTTTGTCTGTGTCTCAGTTTCTTCATCAGTGTCCTGGGTTGTTGTGAGAATTAAATGAGATAATATCTGTAAAGCTTTATATGTATGTGTGGAGCAAGCTTTGGAGGAAGCTTCACGGGTTCCTTTGGTGGATCTGGAGGCCGTGCTCCTGGGGTGGCCAGGAAGGCCTGCCAAATGTTTGTGAGAAGTCTCCCATTTGATTGCGCATGGAAGATGCTAAAAGACAAATTCTCCACTCTCCATCTTGTGGGGTGCCTTGTGTTTAAGTCTGAGTCATCAGAGGTGGCTGAATGAGCCTGCTGGATGATGAATGGGATGAAGCTGAGTGGCTGAGTGACTGATGTTCAATGTGATAGAAATGCCTAAGTGGTTGCCCTGTTAAAATCAATACCAGACCTCTGACTTGCTATGTTTTTTGGCAACCATTTTAATTTGTTGGTGGATATATGAAGATATTTCTAAACTTCAGTTGTTTGTTGGGGTAATTTGAATTACTTTTTTCATCACTGGGGTTTCATTTGACTGTTTGCATTGAGATTGCAATGTGTGAAATTTTTTTGATAGTTGTGGCCTCTTGTTCTACCAGGCCTAGGAAAGTGGCATTAAGTTTAGGAGATGTGCCAGGTATAAGGAAAACCACAGACATCAAGATGGAGAATCAGTTGCCATTTATCATCAAGTTTGCACCGTGGTTTCTCTTATACCTGGCATGTTTTCTGCATTTAATGCTCCCTTCCTGGGCCTGGTAGAATTTGGATTTGCATTTTGTGGTATAGTCAGTATTGGAAGGTTTGTTGTCATGGTCCCAAGAGACAGGCTGACCAGCAAGAAATCGATTTGGGAGTGTCTGAGTACTTACAGCAGGCCTATGGTAGCTGAAGCTGTGGGTAGTGTGAGCTCATCCCCAGAGGGACAGTGCAGGGAGAGATGGGTGTGGGTGAAGAGAAGACTATGACAGGGACATTGGGACACTGAGTCTTAAAGGAGGAGTGAAAGGGTAGTAACTGTTTAAGAAAGAGGCTGGAAGGAGCAAGGTGGGAGGAGAGATGAGAGACCTGAGGATGGAACATTCCAGGCCTTATTGTTAGAGAGAAAACTGTGAGCAAGCATCTGAAGGATAAAGCTTAATCAGGTGAATAGTGAGTTCTGTGGTGAGTTTCCCGGTGTGAAGGAGGACAGAAAGCAGGTGTCCTGTTACCCTGGTCCACAGCATGAGCATGCTTGGTAACCTGCTGTTGCTCCAGGTGCAGCTTGTTGTGACTGTTGTCTCTGAGGTTCTGGTGACATGGTGGTAGCTTGAGCTGAACATGGTGTCATCTCGCCCACTTCTGTTTTGCTCTCTTGCCTTGACTTTTATTTCCTTTTTTTTTCTTTTTTTTTCAAATAATATCAGATGTTAAGTAGAAATGTGCCAGTCTTCTCCTCATGGCCATAGTGGAGGTGCTTGTGGCTGAAGGGCTTTGCTTTTTGAGTGTGCTTTGGGAAAGACTGTCTGAGAAGGAAGCACGGGAGCCAAAATGGAAAAGGTGGGCCAGTGGCATCGTGAGGGCAGTCTCCCAGACAAGGATTGGCCCAAGAAGGCACGCTATAAATGCAGGGGAGGGAGTGAATGAATGAATGAGTTTGAAGAATAAGGAGTGATGATCTGATCAGAGCAAATTTTTAGAACAAATGGTTTCAAAAATCATGTTGGGTGTTTCAGAGTTCACAAGTGTTAGAAGCAGATGCACCTCCAACTTTTTTCCATTCTGATCTTGCTACGTGGGTCAAACCACTTAGTCTCTAGAAATCAGTTTTTTTGTAAAATGGGAATAGCAAAAGCTGTTTGTAGGTTTGTATTTAAAGCTGGTATGTGGCACAAAGGCTGGTACTGGCTGCACTGCAGCTGCTGTTAGCACTGAGTTCATTCCCTTTGCCTGTCCTCAGTTCCCACAGCACCCTGGGGGTCTGCATGGCAGGGCTCTAACCCCCTTTCCTAAAAGAAGACAGAGGCTTAGGGAGGTGAGGACTTTTCCTGGAGGTCCTTTCCTTCTTTACAAAGTCACCACTACTATTTCTTCAAGGTCTTTCTCCTTCCTCAGTGACCTTTCTCTTCTCTTTCTATTGCACTTCAAATTCTGAATCACATGATCTAGAAAGAACTTAAGGATAATTATTTGTACTTCTTCTTGCCCCAGATTCTAAGTTCCTCAAGGAAAAAAATTATAAAAGTAATAGATGATGACGTATAGAACTTTAAATAGTATGGAGAGGTAGAAAATGAAAAACAAAGGTCCCCTAACTTTCATTCTCATGCCCAGAGGTAATGATTTGTCTATTTTTCTAGAAATAGTCTAGGCTTATGAAATAATATATCATCCATCATAAATTAATATATTTAATTGAATTTTATTATACATGAATAGCAAATATGAACAATTAACATATATATATGATCATCATTTGTCTGTGTAAGGCCTGTCTGTGGATCTGTTATCTGTGTAACTAGTTACCAATCTCCTATCTATGGACCACCCTTCTATTCATTTATTTATCCTTATTTCACATTTCCACTTAGCTCTCCCCACATTGGCAACCATTATATTGTGATGTCTATATATATTAAAATATATCTCTATATATTTATACATAAAGATATGTGTGAGACATACATATTTCTTATATTTATGTTATTAATGTAATATAATAATATATCATTTAAACAGAAGCAGAAGTGTATATATGTATATCCTCATACATATGCACACACATATACATGTAATCCCATTATTCCCTATCAGTACATGTGAAGCTGCATTATTCTCATCAGGAGATGCATAGTGTTTCATTGTATAGAGATACATCTGTGTCCTCTATCGCACTTTGTACTTTGCTTTCTTATACTTTTTATACTTTGCTATTACAAACAACAGTGCAATGACAACTTTTACACAAGCCCTTTTACACACTTGTATGTATTTATCTGAAGTAGAATGTTGGGTTAAAATCCCTGTTGCTCTTGCCAAATTACTTTCCAAAGAGAGAGAACAATCTCTATGTCTAGTTAGAAAGTGGAGATTAGAATCTGAGTCTTTGAGAAAAAACTGGAACTCTTTTCAGGAAACCATTAGGTGTGAGAAAAAAAATTGCAGATTAAGTTCTGTCTGAGTGCAGAGACACGGTCACTGTCTTAAGTTCCCCGCATCCCCCCACCCCAGCCCAGCAGTGGTGGACACCATCTCACTTACATTCCCCTAGACTGAACATAGTCATGTGAATATACCTTACAGCCAGGGAAATTGGGAAATGTAGCCTGGCCCTGTCTACCATGATCTTGTAATTGGAGGACAATTGGGGCAGGGGGTTGGGGAGTGTCGTAGACCTCAGGTGACTCTGCAACCCATGGCAAGTTGTAGCACTTTACCCTGAGGTCAGTGTAGGGTTGCATAAGACCAACTTATACAATTGACACTTTTCCCCCAAAAAATCCTCTGGCAGTGGCCTTGGACATGGGGGTTTCACTAAGGACCTACTAGGTGCCAGGTACTAGGCTAGGTGCTTCACTTGCCTCATCCTAACCACAAACCTGCAAAATGAGCCCCATAAGTCCCAATATATATACCTAGAATCCTTGAAGATGTGAAGGGACTTGCCCAAGGCTGAGGATCTGACTCCACAGCAGAGTGACTGTAAAATCCATACCCTTGCTTCCCATGGCTCTGGCCATGTCCGTGCATAGTATGAACGTTGCAGCTATTGTTCAGATCCTTCACCTCACCCCACTCAGGCTCTTGGTGGCCAGGTGTCTGGTACATGCAGCCCATGCACCTTGCCTAACTTGGACTCTCTTCTTGTTTTTCAGGTCCTATCTCAGCTCCTTTGCTGGCTACAGTGCCCTTGGTGGCACCCTGCCAAGGGGGTCATCCCACAGCTTCTCTGACCATGCAGTTTCTTGCTACCATTGTTACGGGTCCCCAACATTCCATCTTTGGGGCCTATTCAATCCCTCCCTTCAGGTTCCAGCCTCGCAATAGGAGCATGGACTGGAGGCGCATGAGTGTCCTAGATGTGGACCGTGTGATACAAGAGCTGGATGTGGCCACCCTGCAGGAGAACCTCACTGACATCACCTTCTGCACCTTGGATGGGGAGGTATGCAGCCACTGTTCACAGCCTTTGGACCAGGCACTGCTCAATGTGCTGCGCCTAGCACAGCTCACCATCGAGTACCTGATGCACTGCCAGGACTTCCTGATGACCAGAGTTACCCTGCTGGAGCTGCACCTGCAAGGCAGCCTGAGCCAGCAGTCACAGAGTCAGCAGGAGCTGGACTGCCAGGCTGAAGAGCTCAGGGGTTTGCGAGAGGGGAGGCACCAGCAACACAAGATGACCAAAGACTTGCAGCAGCTTCTCCAGCGGTCAGGTGGCCAGAGCTACTACATGGTGAGGAATATCAAGAGGACAAGGAGGGTGGGAGGCCTGGGTGTCCAGTTACCTGGGCATCTGGACAACACCATCCCCTGGGCCCTGAGGCTGCTATGGGCCATAGTGCTTGGTTAGGAGCAGATTTTAGAGACATTGCTCATGGCCAGAGGGTCTGAATGTCTGTTTAGGTTACGTCTACTGTGTGTTCATGTAGATTATACAGGTGTGTCAGATGTGTGTATGAAGGATGTGTGTGCATAGAGTGTGCTTATGGAGAGGTTGTGTCTAAAGCATGTTTGAATGTATGAAGGGTGTGGTGTGCACTTATGGAAAGTGTAAATATGTGTGTCTGATGTGTGTATGTGAATATTTGGAGGTTACGTTTGTGTATGGTATGTGCATGTAGTGTGTGGTATGTAATGTGTGCTTGTGAGTATGTAGAAGTGTCCATATAAAGATATATTTATGGTTGTGTGAATGAGTCAGAGTGTACATATGTCTAAGGGTGTGTGTATTTGTGGTAGGTGTGAGTGTATATGTACGTGTGTGTGCACGAGGGCTGTGTGTGCACATAGAGAGTGCTGTGTAAGGGTATATGTAAGAAGTGTGTGTGTGTGTGTGTGTGAGATGAGTGTGTGGCAAGGGACTGTAGTGTCAAGCCCATTCTGGAGAAGGATCTCCATTATTTAACCAAGTAACATTTCATGAGCCTGAGTGGCATTTGACCATTTGCATGTATTTCCATGGAAAGTGTGGTTTAGGGACAGTTGCCCTATAATAAACTGTCATGTTGGCCAGGCATGGAGCCAGGCACTGAGGATATAGTCACAAGTCATGCTGGTTCCGATTTTCCAAGAAATTCATAGTTTGAGGGTAGGTGAAAGAGAAGCAATCATTTCAACAGAGTGGTAGTTGATATAATTGATGTATTGTTAATTATGATATGAGGGTCAGAACCCTTTTAGTAATAAGTGACCAACAACAATCTAAGCAGGGTTAGGCCAAGAAGAGATTTATGGGTTGATTTAACTGAAACATCCAGAGTTTTGGTGACATGAAGGTGTGGCTTTGTCCCAGGAACAACATAGCACCAGATTCTTGTTTCTTTCTCTGAAGCTCTTGGCAACTTTTCCTCAGGGTGGATTCTTCCTTGCACTGTGAGAAAGATCCTGACCCTGTGGTAGCAAGTCGGGCCACAGTAATGCCAACTTCTCATTTTTCAGGATTTAAGGCTGCTGTGCCAGAGGGCCAAAGGTGTTCCCAGCACCTCAGGTAGTATTTCACAGTCTCAGTGCCTCAGCCAGTCACAGGGCCCTGGGAATGCAGGACTCTGATTGGCTTTGGTCTCAGTCACCTGTTTCATGGAGCTGGGGTGGACTGAAGCTCATGGCTTGAGAGTAAGGGAAGGGTAAGTCCCCAGAAGAAAGCTGGGTGCTCTTATCAGAGGAAGAGGGTATGGCTAGTGCACTCCCAGAAATGAACAGATGCCCTTTGTATCCTTTGTAGATGGAGAAAATGTTAAGAGAGATGGCTGAGGAGCTGTGGATGCACAGAGGTGGGAGAGGAACAGCCTTCCTGAGGTGGTGTTTAAACAAGCCTTGAATGTTGAGCACAATTTTGTGAAAGAATGTTATGGGAGCAGAGGTATCCAAGGTGCCAGTGTGAGAAGGGTGCTCAGGGTAATGACTGTGGACTGCACGAGGTGGGTTTGGGCAGGAGACTGGTGAGAGGTGTGGCAGGAGAGGAGAGGAGAGCCAGGTCACAGTGGCCTTATATGTTGTGGAAGAGAGTGGATTTCAGTCTGAAGGCAGTGGTGGCTGTCCCACTTCAGGTGCCTGACTTCTGCATGGACTGCTTGAGGTAGGAATGGGGAAGCAGATGAGGGGAAGGACTTGAAATGTGGAATAAGATGTTTTCTAAACTATTCCCCACCCCACCCACCTCATAATCCTTCTCTCAACTAGAAACTCATTTGTGTGATTCTAGAACTCCAGAGTGGGCAAAATCTGTCAATCCAGGGTGTGTGTGTAGGCTCACATGTGACTGTGGGTGACAGAAAACCTCAAATCATAGTTGTATGAATCAGATCTAAGTCTATTTTTCCCTGTTATGAATGCAGTCTAGAGGGAAGCATTCTGGGGCTGGTATGGAATGCCACAACCACTGAGGACCCAGTTCTTTAAGGGTTTCACTGCCAGCCTCATCATGTGACTTGTGCCTCGTGGTCCAAGATAGCTGCCTACATTCCACCTTTCAAGTCCACATTCAATTCAGCAGGGTGGAGCAGGGGGAGGAATGTTGTGTCTCTTTCTTGAATGACGCTTCCCAGAAGTTGCATTTACCACTTCTGCTTGCATGTCACTGGACAAGATTTAGTCCCATGGCCACACCTGTTGGCAAGGGAGGACAGGACACACAGTGTTTGCTCTCATCAGCTTTATGACCAGCTAAAAATCACAGTTTCTATTGCTCAGGAAAATGGGAAATGGGTATTGGGAGACCACTGGCCCTTTCTGCCATATTTGCCCTTGTGTAAAGAGTGCAGATAATCTGTCCCCTTCCTGTATTGGCTGGCAATGGTAGCTTGTAGGGCTGTATTGGAAGTAGTTTGAAGTTTCACAGTGAAAGGATGATGTGGTAGATTGGCAGTGTCTGAAATAGGTAAGGAAAGTGAGGCTGAATCAGAGATGCTGTCATTAGCTACCCTTGTTTTGGTTGGTATCATCCCTGTGGTGGGACCTGGACACAGGTATCTTTTAGAAACCTTTATGCTATGGAAAATTTCAAACATAGACAACAATACAGAGAGTAAACAATGAACCTTCATTTCCTTACTACCCAGCCCAGTAGTTACCAACTCATGACCAATGTTGTTGCATTTATTCCCCGCACTTTCCCCCACCCCTGAACTGTTTTTGCAGTGTAATAGTCACATGATTTTATCTGTGAATATTTCAGTATATATCTCCAAAAGACAAGGATCCCCACTTTTAAACTTAACTAGAATGTCATCATCACACTGTAAAAAAACAACCAAAATTTCTTAGTCTGTGTTCACAGTTCCCTAGGATACTGGTAGTGAGTTAAAGCTCAGTATATATATCTTGGGGGTTAACATGACTGCCTTACTCAGTAAATTATTTTTTTGTGTGTTAGAAGCAGCCTGGGCATCCCAAGGTAATGGGAGTTTTGACATAGGGAGAATCCCAGGCTGACTCAGGTGACTTACTCCTGCACTTCCCACTGCTTCCTCTCTGTGTAGTGCCATCTGTGTGAGAAGACCTTCCTGAGTGCCTCCTATCTTTGGAGCCACCTGCAACGCAAGCATGAGAGCACAGCACAAGGTGGTGAGTGCAGGTGGCCCTCCTGGGACTGTGGAAGGACGTTGACTGGAATTCAGTGGGTGGCGGCACATACATCACCTAAGCTGCCCTCGAAACCTCATCATACATTGGAGGATGGGATTATTTCACCATCCATCCTGGAGATCCTACTTGGGGCTGGGAGGGTTGCATCTGACCATGTGTGTAGAGCTAAAGAGCTGGGAGTCATACAGGTAGGTTCCAGTCTTAGTTTTGTCCCCTTCAGTTCTGTGACTATGGTCAGCGCTTCCCCCCTTGAGTCTCAGTGTGTTTCACTATGAATGGGGCAGTCAGACAGAATGAAGTAGAAAGGTCCTTCCTTCCTCTCCTTCTGTGAATCTGCTGTTCTGTGATGCTAACTCTGAATGAGCTTACATGGGCTTAATGAGCAGTCAGGCCCCTTCTTTGACTTCATTATTATATAATCTCTTTATGATGTAATCACTTTAATTTTACTGTTCCAAATTCCAAAGAGAGTAACCAAGCTGTGTGTTTTCCCCATGGAGAGCTTTGCATGGTTTGTATTCATTTTTTAAAGGTTTAATAAGAAATAGCTATTAAAATATGAAATATAAACTTGAAAGCATAAATATAAAAATCCCATAATAAAACTTTGTCTTATATTCCCTCACTTCAATTTCCTTTTCAAAGAATAGACTTAGAGTTTTAAAATAGCACCATTGGCCTAGTCACTGTGCATTTGTTACATATGTAACTCTTCTTGGTTCTACATTGGAGGCTGCTAAAGAAAAACAGATTTTGCACTTCTTAATATGTTTCTGATAAAAATATTTCTTTAAAGAATATTTGTAAGTCCATCTTTATGGCAGAATTATTTGCAGTAGCTAAGATATGGAAGTAAGCCAAATGTCCATTCAAAGATAAATGGATCAACAAAATGTGATATATATATATATACACACACACACACACACACACACGTACATATATACATATATACACACATACACACATATACACATATACACATATATATATATATATATATATATGTATATATGTATATATGTATACATATACATGTATATATGTATATATATACACACATATATACATATATATACATATATATATATATATATATATAGTGAAATATTATTCAGCCTTAAAGGGAAAAGAAATTCTGACACACACTTCAACATGGATGAGCCTTAAGGAGATGCTAAGTGAAATATGTCAGTCACAAAAGGACAAATACTGTAACGATTTTAGTTATATGAGGTACATAGTGTCATCAAACTCATAGACTCAGAGTAGAATGGTGGTTGTCAGGGCCCAGTGGTAGGGGAAGGAGAAATTACTGTTAAGTCATTATAGAGCCTCTTTATGAAAAGGCTCATTATAGAGCTTTTTCTCCTCTTCAAGAGGAGAAAAGTTATGGGCATGGATGGTGGTATTGGTTGCACCATGCTATGAAAGTATTTAGTGCCACCTACAAATGGTTTAGAATGGTAACTTTTATGTTACATGTATTTTACCACAATAAGAAAATCAAATTAAATGGCATAGATATGGAAAATTTTTATACAGAATGTAGAAGAGAGAAAATAAAAATTATGGACCATGTACCTGCAGTTAATATTTTTGTGTACTTTCTGTTATTCTTTTTCTGCCTACATATGTAATTGCACAATATGCAGTGTTGATTGTTGTGTATTTTCAATGAAGTATATATTACATATTCCAATGTAATTAAGTCATCTTTGTAAACAATTTTTAATGGCTGAATAGTATCTCATCATATGGCGACCCTAATGTTTTCACAATTGAATTATTTCCTAATTTATATGGGCTACTCCAAAATTTCCCTGTCATAAACCACATGATGATGAACATTCTTGTATGTAAATCTTTGTGCATATGCCTCATCATTTCCTTAAGGTAAAGTGCTGGAAGGAGAGGGAAAACATGTTCCTAAGGCAACTCTGCTATATTAATGTTCAGGACCTTTTCATTGGCTTCTCAGCTCTCCTATTCTACACTCACCTCAGGGCACCTATTAACCCAAATCAATTTATATTGCATCTAAAAAGTGCATGTTTCCAAAAAGTCCAATCTAAGAAAAGCCATCTCACTCTTCAAAGAAAGGCTTGGGGTTTGAATAACAGTGCCATCTATTGAATAATTACTCAGTGTACTTAAAAAAGTAATAAATGCGCAATTGCTGTCTTTTTCATTAACCCTCAAACCCCATTGCTTTATCAGTATGTGGTTTAGTTAGAATGTTCTTTTATAATTCTTTCTGAATCTCTTTTTCACTTAAAAAATTTCAGTACATACTTCAAGCAACCTTGGCTAAAATGTTCACTCGAAATGCATGGTGCCTTTCTTTCACTTGAAATTTAAAAGTATTGGTTTAAATGCTATTAACGAAAAAAAGTGGACTTACAACTACAATTAATTCCATCATTTCACACTCCTCTCTGAGTGCTGTCAGGACACATGGACATGTTCTTTCTATTCATAGTCAGTGTGTGCGCACTACTGGGAGTTCTGTGGCTGTTTCTCTAGTAACTTTGCACTCCCCTTTGTCTGAGTGGGCACTGTCAAAGGAGTTCTGTTAAATGACAGTGAGAGTCCACATTTATTGAGCATCACGACAGGCACTATGCTCAGTGCTTTGCATGATCATCTTTCATCCTCACAGCAACCCTGTGAGTTAGATGCTATTATTATGTCCATCTTCCAGTTGGGAAAGTGAGGGTCAGAGAGGTTAAGTTGTTTGCCCAATGTCAATATACACGGTAACTAGCCAAGCTGGTCTCAGACCGGGGTGTGTGATTGAGGACATAGGTGAGGGACTACACTCCACTGACTTTTCCCCCTAAACTGGTAATCCTCTGCTTGCATGGACTCCACAGAGAAACAGAAGCAGGAAGAGTCTATGGAGGAGATGGTACGAGACCTGCGGGCCCAGCTGACATCAACTCAAGAGGAGCTGACAGCCCTGTTGAAGAAGCAGAGGCAGCTGCAGGTGGGTGTGGAGAAGAGACAGCAGGAGACCCAGTCATGGAGACCCGAGATGCACATGAACCCCCGGGGCCAAGCTCTGCCTGGTCTCAGAGCTGGGAGTCAGAGCTAGGGTGGTACCTTCCCTAAGTGAAAAATGATTATAGGTCATCTGGGAAGGAAACTTTAATTATATTTCCAGACTTGTCTGGCCAAAAAGTAGAGCAGGGAGTTGAAGTTTCCTGCATTATTCAGCACCCTTGGAAGGTATTGAACCTGAATGTTAACTTCTTACACTGCACTCTCAGTTTTTTTAGGACAAAGCATGGGTGTTGTTGTGAAAGCTCCAGAATCCAACCCAGAGGAGGTTCTCAGTAAATATTTGTAAATGAAAATACATAAATTGTCTTACTCATTCCTTCCTTTATTCATCCACCATTCAGTCTCTCAGCATGTATTCACTGAGCATCAACCGTGTAAGGCCCAGTCCATTCTGAGGACCTGAAAGACAGAAACAACACAGTCTCTATCCTCAAAGGATTTGAAAGTTCAGATCAAACTTGGTCACTCCAAGTGCAAGCCATGGGAACTATGGGACAAATGTTCTTTGGTCTCCATGGTGACTTGCATGACAAGGAGCACTAGTATTTTCTCAGTAAATGTTTGCCATAATGAGGAATTAATGATTCTGTTGTTCTTGATGTTCTTTGTAGGAAGCAAAGACCACCTGTCAGAGGGAAAGAGATGCTAAAGCCATGTTTGAGGAGTGGAAAGAAGAGCTATATGAGGAAATAGACCAACAAAAAAAAGTATTTTGGGATGAGCTGAAAAGTTCTGTCCTCCCTAACTCTCCGTTAGAAGAGGTACCCAGTGGAAAAGACTTTTCAAATTTCCTTTGTTGAAAATGTGCTTCTCTGTTCTCAAAATTCATTTACTTGGTTTGTGCTAGTTTTATTTCCTCTGCCACTCTGGGGACTCAGGTACTGTGAGGACAGATTTTGGAGGCCAGTGCCTGGGATTGCATCTCTGCTCTATTCCACATTGGCCGTGTGACAGTAGGGAGTTACTGAACCTGCCTGTGGCTTGGTTTCTTTTCTGTGAGGTGGGTTACTGAGAGGGTCAGATAAGCACAGAGCACTTAACATTGTGTGGTATATCACAAGAACTTCCTAGATATTATTCTTCCTTATGCAAAGGGTTTTTGTCCCTGGACAAGAAATTAGGCAAAATTTAAACAAATGTATTTTTCTTTCAACATGAATTTGTTGAGTGCTGGCTGAATGACAGGAAGACTGAGGGGCCTGTGGAGGTCACACATAATAGCTAACATTTATCAACTGTATCTACTGTTTTCCAGCACCTGTGCAGAACACCTTATAGGCATTAACTTCAAACCTTCCTAATTATCACACATCATAACACTCTCAAAGTAGGTACTTCATGAACTTGTTATATCTTTTTTCAAGTATTTTTAAAGCTATTGACATTCTTCTTTTTCAAGTCAAGACGTGGAGGCCACATAGCTTGCCCAAGGTCACACAGCTCTTAAGAGACAGAGCTGTGCTAGGGTTGGAACCTGGTGCTTTAAACCTCAAAGTTCCTGCTTTTCTACTGGGTGTACTATCGAGTTTATTCAGGAACCCTTTATTACAGTTATCCCTGGACTGTGTCTTAGCATGTAACCTATATGACTAAAACTGTCATAGGAGGTAAGTTTTAAGGAGAAATATCTTCAGAATATATTTAACTCCTATGGTTCCTTAACATATCCAGGACAATCTGGTTTTTGAAAATGAACCAATAGTGCCTCTCACACTCATTCCAGGTTTTGCCTAAAAAGGCAACTGTTCTGGAAGGGGATTGTCATGGGCTATGCCTGGAATCTTGGGGGCTCCGTGGTCTCACTCTGAGTCAGAAAGTGGAGGGTGGGAGGTACCGGGGTTGAAGTGAGAGCTCTGTGTGTGTTTACTGTAGTGACCAGGACCCTGGTGTCCTGAATGTTTCCCCAGTGTGGTCAGGGATGATTTGGGGGAAATAAGGTGCTGCTTCCCCAAATGGACCTCATGCTTCCACCCCCAGCTCCTCAACCCTCACTCCCGACTTCATCTAACACTTCCTGACTCCACACTTCCCCTGACAAGGTGCTGGCTGACCAGGCATTCGATACATAGGCAGGAATTTGAATTTGGAGTTGTTCAGAAACCACCTCATCAAAGGTCAAAGGGTTATCTTCAGTTAGGAAATCCTGAGTTTTGGTAAATGAGAACATAATTTTTATATCTGTAGTTTCCTTTGAACTTGAATCATGTTCTCCTAAATTCTTTTTAAAGATTTTATTTATTTATTTTTAGAGAGGGAAGGGAGGGAGATAGAGAGATAGAGAGAGAGAGAGAGAGAGAAACATCAATGTGCGGTTGCTGGGGGTTATGTCCTGCAACCCAGGCATGTACCCTGACTGGGAATCGAACCTGGGACACTTTGGTTCCCAGCCCGCACTCAATCCACTGAGCTATGCCAGCCAGGGCTACATTCTCCTAAATTTTAATTTCACTGAAGTACAGGGCCGAAAATGGATACCAAATTCTGTGTAGGTGGATAACAAGTTTATTAATACGTTTTTTAATTTCTGAGAGGAAAAAAAACCCAGGTAAGATTCCATTTGGAGTGATTGTGACAAACACTGTAAGTTGGTCGATTTTCTGCTCTTCTGTGGGAACTGCTTCTCCTGGGCCAGGCCTGAGCCCTCAGGAGAACACTGGAGAAGGAGAACCCAGACTGGTGTGGATGTTCACAGGTGTGCTGATATCCAATGAAGACAGGTTGGGGTTTGTGGTTGGGGTAAGATGTGCCCGTCTGACTCTGCTCCAGATTTAAAACAAAAAAACAACTTTATATCTTCATCTGAACAAAATTGTGCCCTGGCCTTTTCAGAAACCAGCAGCCCCGCAGTCCTGCAGTACTATGTGCTCCAACCTCGGGTCTCTGCAGGATGCAGAGTGCAAGGAACTGCTCAGGCAGACACAGGAGCTTGAGGCCCTGAGAATTCTCAAGGAGATGAAAATTCAGGTGCTCCTCCATTTCCTATATTATTCTCAATACATCTCTGTCTATTTTGTACCAGACAGTTACAGTTCATCTAAAAAATAGTTCTTTTTATTTAAAGAATATCAATATATTATATCTCAAATTAAAGTTTTAAGGGGATTAAACAATGTTTCATAGTAGCCTTTTTAAATTAAGTCATTTTTTCTTATTCTATTATAGTGTTCCAATTTTTCTCCCTTTGCCCTCTTCTGTCCTTCCCACCCCCTGCTCCCACAGTCAATTCCCACAGTGTTGTCCTTGTCTGTGGGTCATTCATCCACGACCTTTGTATGATCCCTTCCCCTTTACACCATTATCCACCTCTCCTTCCCTTCTGGTCACTTTCAGTCTGTTCCATGTTCCCATGCCTGTGGTTCCATTTTGTTTGTTAGGTAATTTTGTTTATTAGCTTCTTGTTATAGCTCAGATCATATGGTATTTGTCTTTCACTGACTGGCTTCTTAACCCCTGCACCCCTTCCCTCATTCTTCCCTTTAACCCTCCTACCTCATAACCCTCCAAATAATCTCCAGATCTATCATTCTGTTTATGTTCTGGTTGTTTGCTTAGTTTGTGTTTTTCAGAATCAGTGGTTGATAGCTGTGAATTTGTTTCCATTTTACAGTTGATAGTTTTGATCTTCTTGTTTTTTCTTAAATAAGTCCCTTTAACATTTCAGGGAGTAATGGCTTGTTGATGATAAACACCTTTAGCTTTACCTTGTCTGGGAAGCACTCTATCTGCCCTTCAATTCTAAATGATAGCTTCTCTGGATCCTTGCTTTTTTCACTTTGAATACTTCTTGCCAGTCCCTTCTTGCCTGCAGAGCTTCTTTTGAGAAATCAGCCGATAGTCTTATGGGTACTCCTAGTAGGTAACTCTGTGCTTTTTCTCTTGTTGCTTTTAAGATTCTTTATCTTTAACCTTTGGGATTTTATTTATGATGTGTCTTGGTGTAGTCCTCCTTGGGTCCAATTTGTTTGGGACTTTCTGTGCTTTCTGGACGTGTATGTCTATTTCTTTCACCAAATTAGGGAAGTCTTCTTTCATGATTTTTTCAAATAAGTTTTCAATTTCTCGCTCTTTCTCTTCTTCTTCTGGCATCCGTGTGAATCAGATGTTGGTATTTTTGGAAATGTCCTAGAGGGTCCTTATACAATCTTTGGTTTTTTGAATTCTTTTTTCTTCTTGCCATTCTGATGAATGCTTATTTCTTCTTTATGTTCCAAATTATTGATTTGAGTCCCAGCTTCCTCCCTTCTACTGATGGTTCCAGTATATTTTCCTCTATTTCACTTAGTGTAACCTTCATTTCTTCATTTGTGTTTTTGCCATACTCACTGAGCTCTTTGTGCATCCTGATCACCAGTGGTTTACACTCTACATCTGATAGGTTGGTTATCAGCTTTAAGTTTAGTTGTTTTCCTGGGATTTTGTTCTGTTCTTTCATTTGGGCCATATTTCTTTTTCCCCTCAGTTTGACAGCCTCCCTATGTTTGTTTCTTTGTATTAGGTAGAGCTGGTTTGACCCCCTTAGTAGTGTGGCCTATTGTTGAAAATACACTGGTAAATTGTGTAGGGTGGAGCCTTAGATACTAGGCAGGGCAGGGCAGCCTGCATCACCACTTTGTGGCTCTATATGGGGAGAGGGCTCAAAAAGAGTCATAAAAAGAATGAAAGCTTTCCATTTGAGAAAGCATGGATGGACTTAGAGGATATTATGCTAAGTGAAATGAGCAGACAGAGAAAGACAAATACCATATGATTTCATTTCCATGTGAAATCTGAAAAACAAAATAAATGAATAAACAAAACAGAAATGAACTCATAGATACAGAACAAATTGATAGTTGCAAGATTGAAGGGGATTGGGAGGATCAGTGAAAAAGGTGAAGAGATAGAGAAGTACATATTGTCATTTCTAAAGGCAGTCACAGGGATGTAAAGTACAACACAGGAAATACCATCGAAAATATAGTAACAACTATGTATGGTGTCAGATGGGTTCTAGATTCATTGGGGTGATGACTTTGTAAGGTATGTAAGTATGTAATCACTTAGTTGTATGTACACTAACACTAACATGATATTGTATGTAGACTGTAATTGAAAAATAAAAAGTAGTTATTGATAGGTAATCACTTACTATTGCTATATTGTTGTTTTAGACTCTTTTTGGAGTTATTTTGTTATTTTCTTTTTCTTCTGCTGTCTTCTTTTGTGAATTGATGCTCCCCACTAAGAAATGGTGTTTTGATTCCTTTCTTCTTTTATCATTTTTGTACCTGCTATAGGTATTTTTTTGTGATTAGTATGAGGCTTCCATAAAACACTTTATAGTTCCAGCTGTCTGGTATGAGCTGAGAACAAGTGAACTTCAACTGCAGACAACTACTCTACCCTTTTATCTTCTGCCCTCCCATACCATCTGGTGTCCACAAGCCAGCCAGTAGCCTCTGTGGCCAGGTGGTGAGATCTGTGTATCAGAACAGCACACCAATTTCAGCCATGACAACGCCCTTTGTTTTGGGGGTTGTGAGAGAGAAGTGGGCTTCCTGGGCAGCATCCCTCACATCTGGGGCAGTGGTTGGATGCTTTTTCCCATGTGGGAAAGACTGCAAGCTTGATGAAGTCCATCTGAGCACTGAACTTTGCTGTCTTGGGTGAGGGTTGATGCAGAAATATGAAATAGTTCTCCTGTCAATGCATCTCTTCTCTGATTTTTTGCTCCATCGAGGTACTGGAGGCTTTCAGCTGGATTCCCAGGTTCCCATAAAGGCCATCTCTTCTGTGGGTGGTTTGAGAGCTGAACCTCATCCCACAATCTTGCTGACAGTCACTAGTATTTTTATGTTTAAATCTTTGAGCCACCTATACTTTATTTCGGTTAAAGATATGAGATAAGGATCCAAATTCATAGCTTTTTTTTCAAGCACTTAGCTACTTGTGTGAACACTATTACTCAGCAATCCATCCTCCCCCAGACTAAGATTTCATGTTTTCTTCTCTTTGTCTGAATTTCCTATTCTTTTTCACAGTTCTGTCTTTGTAATGATGAGCCAGGACTTTTTAATTCTGTAGTTTTATAATATATACATTTAAAAATATTTTATTTGTTTATTTTTAGAGATAAGGGAAGGGAGGGAGAGAAGGAGAGAAACATCAATGTATGGTAGCCTCTTTCACACCCCCTACTAGGTCCTCAACCATATCCTATGCATGTGCCCTGACTGGGAATTGAACTGGTGACCCTCTGGTTCACAGAGTGGCACTCAATCCACTGAGCCACACCAGCCAGGGCAGTTTTATAATATATTTTAATTGTGAAGGAGCTGTAATTTTTTTCAGTAAAGAGAACTGAAGAGGATATTTCATGAATTGGAAAAAGAGCTGGCAGCTAACAACAAAGAGGTAGTTCAAACTAGGTGGTTCCCATGATCTCCTCCCAGCACACCTTCTCCCTGGGAGCTTGAACTGGTTGGCAAGTATTTTGTTGCTGATATTGCTCCTGGCTATTGACCCTCATCAACATACCAAAGGCTCAGCTGGCTAAATAGCAGCTTTCCTGGCCAGGAACAGGGTACTCCAGGCCTTCTCTTCTGAACCACCACATCCTTTACTCTGTGGTCCCCTGGGCAATGACCCTGGGAGGCCCTCCAAGGAGGCTTTTGCCATAAACCTCTGGTGAGTTGCCTGGTCATGTTGAGTTCATGCCCTTTTTTGAAATCCCACCCAGAAGAGAATCAGGTGGCTCTGGACTTCCATAATAGTTCAGGGGTAATGCCAATGGAAGGGCTCAGGACCAGAGAACAGAGAGCATCAGGCTTCAGGGCAGAGAAAGCAGCATCTATAAAAATGCCCCTGAGGAGGCAAGTTGAAGAGGAAGCCCATTAACAGCAGCCTCAGGTTCTGCCTACAGAGAGCTCAGAGGGTCAAAGTGCATGAATCAGAGTGGGGTGCATAGTAGCCACCCCACTGCAGTAATCCCATCTGATGAATGTATTGCATTCGAAATACTTTAAAATGGGAAATGCATTTCAGTTTCTTTCTTGAGTAGGAAGAATATATTAAGGTACACTAAGTCTCCCTTCCACCCCATTTTTATCTATCTGTCCCCTACACCCACCGTCCACAGGTGACCACTTCACTGTTTTCTTGCATACTCTTCTACAGTTTCTTTATGCAAATATAAGGAAATAGACTCATTTTCTCTCTGCTCTTAACCAGAGGCAGCATGTTAGCACATTTCCTTCACCTTTTGTGTTCACCTAAAAACATTTATTTGATGATTCTGAATGACCTCCACTTTCCTGACTACCCTTCTGTGGGTGGCCACACCAGACAGACAGTCCCTGTGCCCCAATCTTTGCAGTCTGCATTCAGTTGTTTCTTCTCTTCAGACACAGCTTGACATTGTTTCCCAAACTGGAGGGTAGTCAGTCTTGTCAGAAAGCCACCTGCTCAGGTCAGAAAACCCTCTTCCCTACTCCTGGTGAAACCCTGAGCAGCGTTTGCCTACAGGGGCTGGACCCATGGACATGGGACACTCAGAGGTCCTTGTGATACTGACTGACTATCCACCCTGTGCCCACCAGCTACAGGACGAGAATCAGGAGCTGAAGAGGGAAAACAAGACACTGCGGAAGGAAAATAATAAGCTGCAGAAGGAAAAGGAGGAGATACAGAAGGAGAATGAGAGGCTACAAGAGGAGAGTGAGAAGCCACAGGAGAATGAAAAGCTACAGAAAGAGTATGAGAAGCTACAGAAGGTAAATGAGAAGCTACAGAAGGTGAATGAGAAACTACGGAAGGAAAAGGAGAAGATACAGAAACAGAGTGAGAAGGTACAGGAAGAGTATGAGAAACTACAGGAGGAAAGTGAGCAGCCACAGGGGAATGGAAAGCTACAGAAGGAGTATGAGAAGCTACAGAAGGTGAATGAGAAGCTACAGAAGGTGAATGAGAAGCTACAAAAGGTGAATGAGAAGCTACAGAAACAGAGTGAGAAGATACAGAAGGAGTATGAGAAACTACAGGAGGAAAGTGAGCAGCCACAGGGGAATGAAAAGCTACAGAGGGAGTATGAGAAGCTACAAAAGAAAAATAAGAAGCTCCAGAAGGAAAATGAGAGGCTGCATGACATACTTCGTCAACTGAACGTAACAGCTTCTCAATCCGAGCAGCACACTATGTTCCCCAGCACCCAGATGCAACAACAAACGAGGCTCATTACCTCACAGGAGATGGTAGGTCTGTCCCTCCTCCCAGGCAACCTCTGGTGCCCCTAGGCCTCTTCCCTGCAAGGGCCTCCTTAGATTCTACTGGGCTTCCTGCTATTGTTCTCATTATTCAGGTTTCTTTAAGGAGGGAGGAATCTTCAGGCTGGAGGGACACAAAGGGGTAAGGATGCATCCTGCCTTCCTCCAGGCTAAAGATGTGCCTATTGTCCTCAGGGGCTGAGGGCACAGAGGTTCACACTGATACCAAAAACCACATTCAATGCTGGCACCCACTTGACACTTGGGTTGTTGCTCTATGTAAGCCTCATGCCTGCCCTTCAAGGTAGACTTACCTTCTCGTTGTTATTTGACCCACAGTGAAAGAGGCTGGAGAAGTCAAGTGGCTCAGGGGAGTCCACACAGGGCACTCTGTAGTGACAGGGGGCAGATTCAACCACAGCATCACAGGTGGACTACAAGCTTGTGCTCTTCTCACTGGCTTCTCAGACCTAACTTTTTCACCAATAGACTTCTGATAAATTAACAGTCTCTGAGGCAGTTGTCATATAAACTAGTTTGATGGAAAGGCACCTCTCTTATTTACTAAGCACGCCTCTCTTAGACTTTGCCCTGTGACTTTTTGCCTATTGCCAATAATTCTCTGCCCAGCCAGGCTCACCTCCCTCACCTGAGCCCCAGGTCTATAGAAAAGTGTATCTTTCCCCAGCTGAGCCCCTCCTGTGGCCTCAGGTCCTGGCCCTGGTTCTGACAACACCCTCCCCACAACTTCCTAGGGGCTGAGCTGCCACTGTCCCTGTCTAGTCTACTCTTTCTGTACTTGCCCCCTTGCTGTTGATGCTTTTCTGTTCTCCCACCCACACTTCCCTGAGTCACGTATACTACCTACTCCTCTGCTGTTTTTTTCACTGTCACCCCCAAAACAGTAAGCTCTTCAGTGCTGTAACTGCTCAGGTCTCAGTCCAGAGGTTTCTTCCTTATGTTACTCAGAACTCTTTGTTTTGTAAATGTTTCAGTTAGGAACATATTGGCTAAACAGAAGAGAGTAGGGTGCTTTTTAAATCCTAACACCAAATGAAGTGAGTGTTTCTGTCCTTGTTTTAGCAGCACATTTATGCCACTGGAAATCCAGACTCTGTTTCTATTTTTACCATCTTCTACATGTTTACTCTTTGTTCTTGGGCTTGCTCTCATAGTTGCAAGATTGCTGCCATAGCCCGAATGATTGCAACCATATTCTATGGAAGAAGTTTGTGGAAATGTTTTTTTCCAAGACCTCTGTTAATATTGTATTAACAATACAGCTCTATCTCATGCAGAGTTATAGTTGCAAGGGAGCCTAGAAAATGAATAATTTGTTTTATAGTGTCTAAAAAAGATGGAGACAAAGGAGAAAATGGATGAATCTTAGCCTATAGGTAATAGAAAACAACTCAACTTAAGCAGAAGAGGGAATCTCTGATGAGGGTAGATATGGTGTCCCTGGAACTCAATGTAGAAGAGCAGCTGAGTGTGTGAATAAGGTAGAACTAGAGACATGAATATGGTGAGGAATTTTCCTCTGCTGTGTGTCTTGTTCTTTCCTGTGTGTCTGAGTCAGTTTTTATGTTATTCTGAAGATCAGCTTCCATTCCTTATCTGTTATGTTTATCATGTGACAAAAACAAACAAGTGACCAAACCAAGAAAACCCCAAACCAAAACCAGTTGGCTGCCATCATCTTTTGGCTTTACACATTACAAGTCCTGGATTCCCTGCCTGGACCTGGACAAAACTTTCACTATGGTGTGTGGTCATGCTGTCACATGAGTCTGCCCTATCCACATGGACGGGTAGCTGAAAGCAGGTCTGGCACTCTGTTGCTATGAAAGCTAATACTTAAGAGTCAGGTGCTAATGTGAAGTCCATTCTGACAAGGTAAGTGATGGTCCAGTGTGCATCATCCTGGTTTAATCATCTTGGCTTCACATCATACTGGCCTCATGTCATCCTGGCTCCATGGATGAATGTCAGCAAACCTGGAACTGGGATGTCTGATGGTCAGAGTCTGTATCTTCTGAAACTAGTTCCTGGGAATTTTACATGCACATGTTTATCTATAAGCTATGTATTAGTCAGAGTCAACACTTACAGAAACAATGACAAAAGAATGGTGGGGTAGGTTTCAATATCCCACCATTGCAAGTTTCACTGTGACAGAAGAGGAGTAAGAAGCACTTTCTGGAAAAGGGGGTTTGAGCAGATGGTTTAGTGAGTGTCCACATCATGCCTCCTTCCTCCTAGGGAGCTTCACTTCAGATGCCCACATTGCAGGAGGGGTGCCTACTTTGCCCTGTGTGTTTTCTATGCAGTGTACCACCAGTATTAACTGTGCCACTCTGCTCCCATGGGGTCCTGATCTTCCAACCACAGTCCCTTTCTGAAGAGGAGGTATTCTTGCCTCTTCACCGGGGGAAATTAAGCATGGTGCCATTCTGGTTGCTGCCATTCAACCTCGGTACCATCCAACTCACATACGGACGTCATGAGATGTGTTGGTATTTGGGCTGGTGAACTGTGAGCACTTTCCAGTTTCCAAAAGGTGGTATGGAAATAGTGAGTGTACCTTTTTCATGGAGCTAGACAGAATCACTGCTGAGAGCAGAGTTCCCTGCTGTTTGTAACGTGCTGTGTTCTCCATCTTTGCAGACCCAGAACTCACTGCACAGGAAGCTGAAGGGTAAGTCTGCATGGGGTGGTTTGTCACAATCTTGGCTGCTGTCTTGGCCTTTTCTGTTTCCTGTCCCTCACCAGTCAGTCTCTAGGATGAGGCTGAGGGCATGAGGTGCCAGGCTGTGCAGGTAGGAAAAGGAGAGAGGGAAGACCTTTGCTTTTTGACAGACAGGGCTCCAATGTGGCATTTGTGCTGAGGGCATTCCTTGCTGCTGGCCTCAGCTGCTGTGTTGCTTGGCTGGCCTTTTCTCTGTAGGAAGATGGAGACATGGACAGGAGAAGATTCTTGGGGGCAGTGTTTGATGGGCAGGGTCCAGAAACTGGGTCCTTCTAATTCACCTTGCCTGTGGTTTAGGCCATTGACTTGACCTTGTTCCTGGTATATAGCAAGTTCACCCCAGGTCTATGTGAATGAGGCCTGTTTAGAGTATTATTCTCCTCTCTTGAGTACTCTGGTGTGCTGGTGTGTGTGCACGTGAGTGTATGAGTGTGTAATGCAGTGTAGGTGCTGGCATCTAAAGGCAGGCAGTAAACTACAGGGCACTGCTCTTTTTTGGAGACCTTGGCCTCTGCTTATGAAACTGGCCCCTTGTACTCCATCCACTTATGAAACTGGCCTCTTGTACCCCATCCACCCGCCTCCCCTTGCCTATGCCTGTAACTACCCTTCTGCTTTTTCTTGCAAACCCACAAGTCTCCTCCAGTGCCCTGCCTTGAGGCTAGATAGGAGTAGTGTCAGAGAGACACTATTCCTGCAGCCCTGAACTTCCCCCACCTGGGGTTCAGATGAGCGCCATGTGCTTCATCAGCACTTCAGTTTCATTGTCTCATTACCCTGTCCCCATGGTTTAATGTGGGGTGAGCATGGATATCTTCATTTTCTAGAAGAGGAGACTGAGGCTTAGAGGGGTTCAAAGATTGGCCAAGTCCTGCCCAGCCAGTGAGGGGCAGGACTGGACTGTGAATACTGCACCTTCTGCCTCCAGTGTCTGTGGTTGTGACCAGTGGGCCCATCTGCCCGTCTCTGGTACGGAAGTGACCAGTAGCCTTACTTCTCCTGACTGGCTCGCAAATGCTTTCTCTCAGCTGGGGATGGGGTCCAATGCATTGGAGCCACTAAGTGTTCCTTCTCTTCAGGGAGCGCTAAGGGCCCGAAGGCTGTGAATATGGACAAGGATTCTTTCATAGAAGGTGGGCCTCATTTCCTTCCCTGGTGACCAAGGCTGAAACAGAGTTTCTGCTCTCTTCATTGTTTCCATGGTCTCTTCTTAAGTGTATCTGGCCTCCTGACCTTGAAGTGAAGGGAACTAGAGGCATGAATGTGAGGGCTACACAGTGAGAAGGGGGTCCCCTCTCTCCCACACTGCAGGGCTCCCCTGCAAACTGTGGATTCAGTAAGGCTGGGGTGGGGTATGAGAATCTGCATTTCCCACAAGTTAGCAGCGGGGTCTCATGCTTTGGCTCATACTTTGAAAACCACTGCTCTGGAACCATTGGTTCTCAGGCCTGGCTGTTTCTTAGAAGGTCTGGGGAGTTTTAAAAATTAATATGAAGGGCAGGGGCCCACCCTCAGAGATTCTGATGGAACTAGCTTGGGATTGGGGCCCACATGGTTCAGATGTACAGCTGGGGTTGGTTACCACGTCTGAGTGTGACTGTTTGAGGGCTTTCTCATGTAGCCCTGCACCCAGCACTGGCCTGTTCACACTGATGTGACTTGTCAGTAAATGTCCCCTGAGTGAATCCAAGGGCTGGTCTAGTTCTAACTGCAGTGGCCCCCACACTGGACAAAAAGCACACTCAGGGAGGCTTCCCAGACTCAGTCTGGATGGCCCCTTCATAGTAGTTGCCACATTTCATTGTAATTGTTAGTTTTGTTACCCTCTGGGTGGGTATTTCTTAACCTGTGGTCTATGGCTTACCTTCACCAGAATCATCTGGGCAATGTAAAATGCAGATTCCAGAGCCCTTCCCCAGGCTGATGGAATCAGCATCTTTGGAGGGGGCTTGGGGAATGATGTCCCTTTGAACCTCTTTGGATTTGGATGTTTACTACATCCAGGCTTGAGAACCAATGGTTCCAGAGCATATTTGGATGTTTACTACATCCAAATAGGAGGGAGAGCATTTGACCTAGACAATAAATATGAAGAGAGCAGGAACCTGTCTATCCTGTACAACATGATATACCCGTAAAGAGATAAAATTTGATGCAGTGATGGGGTGAGGGTATCAGGAGGGGCCAGTTGTGGCTGCAGCTGACAGCTGACAGGACCTGGAATCTGGAATCAGAATGGATTCGGGGAAAGAGCTGCTGCCAGGGCTCAAGTGTGAGGCAAAAGCTTGCAGCCCTGAGCTGTCCTGGGAGCAGGACTGATCCAAGATCTTAGAGTTCCAGAGTGGAAGGGAATAAAAGTCCCGAATGTGGGTAGGGGGTCTGGGAAGAAGTGCCCAGAAAGAGAAACACCGCAGCTTCTGACCCAGGATAGATATGTGGACTGGGTCAGTGGCCCTGAGGTCATGAGCCAAAAACCAGGACCCCTGGGGAAGTGAGGGCCAGGTGGGCACAGTGGGGTTTTGGAGATGGAGGTTTCAGGTACCCGAGGCTGACCTTGGTGATTGTCTCATGTTACAGAGTCAGAGGATTCCCAAGATGAACAGCAGAAGGTGCTGGAGGCTCAGGGGCAGAGCATCAGCTTACTGAAGATGTTTGGGCAAACCCCCGGGAATGACCTGCAAGAGAGTCAGGGAAGCAGAAGAAGAAAGAGAGTAAGTGCTGGGGCCATGGTTTCCACACAGGGAGTTATTAAACTGATGAAGGCACCATGGTTCTTTACATTGTAGGCTTCTTCATCTTATTTGTTCCAACGGGGGCACCTTTGGTGTCTAGGAATGGAAACCCACACAGCTTCTCCTCTCACATCCCAATGGCAGTGGGGTGTCTCTCCCAATGGTTGCTTCAGATGCCCCCCTGTGTGCTGACCTCTGTGCTACCTGCTCATTGGTTATTTTCTATTAGGTCTCTCCTTCTGACCAAGGGAATTTAATTGGCTTAGTCTGGCCTCTGCATGGGTCTCTTGGGCTAAGTGTCCATCACCAGTGCACCCGCACACACTGAGCAGGTGGCTGTGGGTGAGCCAGGCACTGAAAGCCGTGTCTAGTATGGACTAGAACTTGAATGCTTTTGCTTCCTCATGTTCCTTCTTAACCAGAGCATGCATATTATCATTAAAGGCATTGCTGAAATCTCTTAATATTGTTAAATAAAAACACCCTTATTACTAACAAAGATGGATATGATGTCATTGAAAATACTATCTGTGTACACTCAGATTAGTAGAAAGCTGGGCACCTAGGTTACTGAAGTAATGATGCTCTCACCTTTGACTGTTTCCAACTTCTGCTTAATCTAAATTTGGCCCTATGTTCAGGCCTGATTAAAACATTTCTTTTGTGAAACTAGAAGAGATTAGTCAAAGAACACATATGCATATACACATAGCTCTTGGACAGAGACAACAATGAGGAGAAGGCTGAAGAATGCTGGGGGCTGGGTGAGGTGGGCAATGGTGGGGTCTGGGAGGGAATGGGGTGCATCTGTAGTAGTGTCAACAATAAAAAAAGTTGTCCTTCTAAAAAAATAAAACTAAAACTTTTCTTTGTAACCTTGGAAGAATCCTCATCTTGAATTCAGATGCTTCCCAAGAACTTCCCATGACTCTGGGTAGATGTCAAATGTCCAAGCAACTTTCAGGAGGTCTTAGAAGGGTACCTGGCATTTGTTCTTGGAAGTAGTTTTTTCAAACATTGGTAGCTGCTAATATCGATGTGTCTGGCATAAGGATAGTGCCTAACATACAAAGAGGAGGAAGCCATGGGCTCCTGTCTGAGGACTCAGTCAGGTGGTGGAGAGGCATGCTGTAAGCTGTGTATGCTATGATGTCCGTGGGATTCTGAGCAGCACCTTTGTACCATCTTGCTCTGCGTGTTTTGCTGAGACTCCCAGACCCTAAAGCAGCACCCTTTCTACAGCGCATGAAGCTGCTGCTTGCCCTGCTCTGCTGCTCTTGTCTTGCTTGCCCAGACAGTGGCTGGTACTAGTTCCAGGGGCTCCTGGGTCAACAGCAGGTTTAGAGACTTAGGGGAGCAAGAATGGGCACCGCTGTCTCCAAAGGGGACCTTTTGTCTCTTCTAGGATGCAAAGGAAGTCCCCACAAGGACTTTCAGACACTTCATGAAGGTCAGGGAAGAGAAGAAGGAGGGGAAGTTTTCTGAGTGGTGCAGCAAGACTTCAGGTAAGCTGCTGAGAGGGCTTGCTTGGGGGCTCTGACCTGGGAGGGTCCTGGTTTGTTTGTACATGTGGTGGGTGGTTCCAAAGGGTGACACAGTGGTAGGGTCCCCACAGGTGAGTGACTTCAAAAGCCTTCTGTGGGACAGACAGAGTCTGAGGTGGGGGGGGCAGGGTGGACACTAGGGTCCCTCAGGGAAGCAGAGGACAGCCAGAGTTCCAGCAGGTGGCCTGCCCAAAAGCTCCTGCTCAGATCGGCTCTCTGCTGGGCAGTTTAGCTCTGCTTTGCTTCACCTGCTTTGACCACAAGTTGAACTTTGCTCCCACAGAGAGAGCAGCTCGTTGGTTTTCAGGCTCTCGAAAGAGGGCCAGGCAGCACTGGTAGAAGGCCCACAGCCTGGGAGCTGCGGCTGCAGGCAGAGGTAAAAATCAACGAACACTGTTCTGAAGCAGGGGGAGGGCAAAAGGCTGGGACAGTCCTGTCTGTGGACAAATACTCTTGTAGAGCTCAGACTTTTCCCTGTCTGAGGTCACTGCTGCTGCTTTGCCCAGGGGGGTCATGACAAGGGAAGGCAGGTGGTTCTTGTGGAGGGTTAAAGGACATGGGCAAGGAACCTCCAATGTCTGCCCTTAGGGAACTTTGGGAACAAGGGAAGTTGTGTTTCTGGGTTTGGGGGTCTCCCCAGTTCTAGAGAATTCCCAGTTCCACTGGGCTACTGTAATTGGAGGATTGGAGTGGGGTAGAGGGGCTTCAGTGGGTCTGTGTCCACCCATGCAGGGTGATAGCCCAGCTTCTTCCACTGCAACTCCTTATCCATGGATGTATGTGGCCAGAGAAAGGTCACTGTTGTTGTCTCTCTGTGTCCAGGCATGTCCAATTTGACCCTTTCATGCAAAGGAATTTTCCAGATTACAGCCTATGTTTCTCTAGGAATAGGGAATATAATTTTGTCTGGTACATGGATGAATAATTTTAAAATTTAATCTTTTTGCTTGTTCATGTGCATTAGAAGAATATTAGTAACAGCCATCCATGAACTCACAGAAATTATTTTGAGGACAAGTATAAAGTGGGTATTTTATGTTTAAAGGTAGTTTCACTTTATGCAAAATGTCAAATAGACAACAGAACACTTGGAATGAGAATATGCTAAATTGTGTCCATAATATGGGAAAGTCTGTCCATTTTAAACTTCTGGTCTTAAAGTGTGTGAAGAAAGGACAGTTCTTAGTCTTGCACAGAAATCAGAAGATGTGTATTTGTCTTGCTTGCTAACTTGCCTTTCACACTTCCATTTGAGTTCCTAGCTCTCTGGCTCAAATGTTCATTCATTTACTCACTCACTTCACACAGTATTTGTTGAGATTGATCTGCACCAGGTCCTGCCATCTTTGTTGGGACACAGAACTCAGTGATGTGATGGAGCCAAGCCCAGGGTGGTGGGAGTACAGAGGACAGAGGGGACAGGCAGTTAGGAAAGATGAATGGGAGCCCCTCTGAGCCCCCATCCCACCATCCTCAGTTTGTCACATCTGCAAAGACCCTTTTCCAGAGGTAACAGGTTCCAGGACTCAGGACGTGATACCTCTTTGCATGGCCGTTATTCAGCCTAGCTCAGTATTCAGGTCTCAATCAGGGAGACTCTGGCCCCACCCTGCTTCATTCCCCTGGGGCTTTCCTGGGTGGAGGACACACTTGCCCCTGGGTGCTGTCATCTGGAGACATTTTCTAGAATAAGGGGCAGGGCTGAGTGTGGGACTGTGTGTTTGTGGGGAAGGGGAGTGAAGGGAATTAATCTGTTTCACTCTTGCCCCATGTGACTTTAGATCCTAGGCTTCCTGCCTTTTCTTCTGAAGAGCCCAGAAGTCTCAAAGCTGGACCTGTGAGGAGGAGGTGCTCACCAGACCGAGATTTCACTGCAGTTGCCAGCACAGGGTTCCTAACAAATGGCCACTAATGTGTCCCTGGGCTGGGGCAGGGTGGACCACTTTCAGGGGTGGGGGTGGGGAGGGACCTGGGACGGGCACATTGTATAGAGCAGGGCCAATGAACTTGGTCCCACCTGTCTGCCCTGCTGCCCACCTGGCTCCAGAAAGCTGCCTTGAAAGACAATGATCACTTTCTTGCCACCATGCTGCCTCCTGGATGTATAGATGAGACTTGGAGTTGGGATTATTATTTCCAATGATTCCTTTTTGTTATATTTCCCTTAGATAGATAAGAGTTTGAATATGATGTTAATATATATTTCTGTTTTACTTTGAGTGAATAGCATAGTTATTGTGTGTGACTCTTGTCTATTCCTTGGTGCGGGGTTGCTCAGCTGACTCACAGGAAAGACTATATCAGGAACACATGCTCCTGACACATGTGCCTGCTGGGTCCCTGTGGTCTCAGTGCCCGCCCACTAGAGGGCACTCCAGGACTGTACAGAAGCAGGTAGCCTGCTGCCTCAGTGCCCCACTCAACTAAGGTCACCCAAACTGTTTGCTCCTTGGGAAAAGAAATCTCTACTCAAATTGTGGTGGGAGATGCTACATACTACATTCATTTCTCAGAAACTAATCATGCACATGAGGAGATTAAAGGCTCTGAACAAAACACACTTTAATGTGATTCATACCAGCATTTTCCAAACTTATTTGAGCTTAGACCTTCTTTCACGATGATGTAAATATTTTCTTGGAACTAATGTTTCATGAAATACAGTTTGGGTTTCTCTGAGCTGTGCCTCAACTTTGCTATGTTGGGTGTTAGGGACAAGGTGGGCCTTGGGACACAGCTTTGAAGTCCTGCTGGGCACTACATCACTGCCTTTGGGGGAGGCGCTGGGTGTGGCATGTGCTGACCCAGAGAGGCCACCTCAGAACAGCTGGGGGCCAGCTGTTTCAGGTGGCCCAATGTGTCATCAGCTGCTGGTGAGCACCAGGTGTGCTGCACTGATTTGGCAAGTGTAGCCCCTGAGGATGCCCAGGGTTGAGTCCTGTGGGGGAGGGACAGGGTGAGGAACCAGAACCCTAATGCCCTGTCTGGTGCTCACCCTGGGGGCAGCTCTTGGGTTTTAGGCCGATGTCAGTTCAATGCCCACATTCAGGCCAGCTTCTATGTCTCTGGGTTAGTTCCCTAACCATCACCACTTTACTAACTAATCCATACAGTTTCTACCAAAATGGTTTTGTTTAAATGAGTAGCTATCTGAAGCCAGATTGCCTGGGTTCAAAATCAACTTCTGCCTGTCTTACTTTGGACAAATTACTGAATTTCTTCATTCTTTTAGTTTTTCACTTGAAAAATGGGAATAATTATAATACCAATCTTTAATCATTTGTGTAGATTATAAAAAATGTAGGACGCTTTTCTTTTAAAGATTTTATTTATTTATTCTTAGAGAAGGAAGGGAGGGAGAAAGAGAGAGAGAGAGAAACATCAATGCGCAGTTGCTGGGGTCCAAGGCCTGCAACCCAGGTATGTGGCCTGACTGGGAATCGAACCTGCGATACTTTGGTTCACAGCCCATGCTCAATCCACTGAGCTATGCCAGCTGGGGTTTAGGACATTTTTTGATAACTTTTAGCCGTTATCATTTACAAGGCCTTCAGCAATTATATGTAATATGATGATGTGAAAAACTCTTGTGAAGATTTCTGCAAAGTCTTAGTTAACCTGTTTCATTTGCCTTTTTATTTTTATTTTTAAATGTTTTTTGTTCTTTTTTTTATTGTTGTTCAAGTACAGTTGTCTCCATTCCCCACCACCACCATCTCAACCCTATCCATCCCCACCTGCTACTCTAGAAACTACCCCACTTTGGCTTTGTCTGTGTGTCCTTTATACATGTTCCTGACAACCCTCCTCCCTTTCTCCCCCATTATGCCCTCCCACCTCCCCTCTTGTGACTGTCAGTTTGTTTTTAATTTCAATGTCCCTGGTAGTATTTTGCTTGCTTATTTGTTTTGTTGATTAGGTTCCACTTATAGGTGAGATCATATGGTATTTGTCTTTCACTGCCTGGCTTATTTCACTTAGCATAATGCTCTCCAGATCCATCAAAGCTGTCATGAAGTGTAGGAGCTCCTTCTTTCTTTCTGTTGCATAGTATTCCATTCTGTAAATGTACCAGTTTTTGGATCCACTCATTTACTAATGAGCTCTTAGGCTGTTTCCTTGTACTTGGCTATAGTAAATTGTGCTGCTATGAACATTGGGATGCATAGGTTGTTTTGACTTGGTGATTCAGGATTCCTAGAGTATAATCCCAGCAGTGGAATTGCTGGGTCACAAGGCCAGTACATTTTAATTTTCTGAGGAAATTCCATACTGTTTTCCACAGTGGTTGCAGCAGTCTGCATTCCCACTAACAATGTACTAGTGTTCCCTTTTCTCCACAGCCTCTCCAGCACAAGTTGTTTGTTGATATGTTTATGATGGCCATTCTGATCAGTGTGAAGTAGTATCTCATTGTGGTTTTAACTTGCATCTCTAATGGCTAGTGATGATGAGCATCTTTCATATGCCTCTGGGCCCACTGTCTGTCCTCCATGAAGTATCTGTTCGGGTCTTTTGCCCTTTTTTAATTGGATTGTTTGTCTTCCTGGAGTGGAGTCATGTGAGTTCTTTTTTTGGGGGGTGGGGAACCTTATGGGAACTTTATTCAGATGGCTTGAAATCTGAGAAGACATTGGGTTAGCCCCCTAACAAATCTGTCTTACACTTTCTTTCCAAGCCAGTGTTTCTATAACAGGGAATAAACAAAGAGTAGTGAGGGGTGTTGAAATTCAGGGAAAATTAGGTGAAAGAAAATTGCAGCATTCTTGTTCTGGGCAGTTAGCTGTTCCCAGGGGCTGGTGGTTGTCTGTCTCTCCCCGGAACACAATGGCCCAGGTGCCTCCACTTGTTCCCCAGGTCGTGGCCTCTAGCAGTGCCCCAGGAGGTCGGCTTTCTCACCAAGTAGTCAGGATGGTCCTTATCTGTAGTTTCTGAAACAAAAGGTTTACCATATGCTTTAGCTATGAGACATATTAACTATTTACCTTAAACTAAAAATTTCCAACTCTTGAGTCCCCTGTCATTCTCTATCATTATTATTAAACTCTTATTTCTATGAGATCAGCTCAATATGGAAGTATTCATTCTTTTGTTGGGCATGTAAACAAGGCAGCAGCCTGTGGCAGAGAAGTTGTTAATACAGTCGAGGCCATTCATTACACCTAAGTTCTGACTTAAATGTTGTACATATTTCTTTACCTTTACTTCTTGATCTATATACATATCACCCACCCAATCATAGCCTGAAATGGTCACCTGTACACAATTTCATAAGGACTAAAGTGAATCCCCCTTCGATGAGCCACTGTTATCCTGAGCAGGGTAATAGGCAAGGCTTGATGCCAATGGGGATGA